CGGGTGGTTTAGAGAGAGTACAAGAGGGACAAACCTGTTTGTTCATGGTGGCCATGGCTTTGGTCACCCCCTTCATGGCCTGTGCCATTTCGTTGTTGGATTTGAGAGTCTGAATCTTGAGAGACACGGCCTGGATGTTTGCTCTCATTAACATGAACTTCTTGACGTAGCGACGTGTTCGGACAAGATCCTTGGCCATGATCTTCACAGCGTCCTGTTGAAAGATTAAAAAACAACACTAAAACAAAGATGCTATAATAATTATAATACTGCTGGTACTATCCTCTTCATCCTTAACAAAACATAAGGCCATGATACATGCAAAATTAAGGACGATTCACAGTCAATACAAATCTAAATGACTTGAGGGAGTCTACGACATTATCTACCAGTATATCAGGGTATTGAACAATCCCTCATCAAAGACGGGGGGCGCCACAGACTTTCTGCAACGGTACCTATGATTCACCAAGTCACATATGTTGTCTGCATAACATGACGTCTAAGAAGCAGGGGATTGCTCATTCCTTGACAAAGACTGTCCAGAGTTATATAGTCAATAAGCACAATTTCTTGTGGACTTGGGTAAGTCCGATTTTGTTTTCAAGGCATACCTCAAGGGGTTTCCCACTATCAGACACTGGTAAAGAACCCCCCCCTCCCCCAAGCAGTGGAAGGACCAGATATAGTAAACTTTCTGAAAGACACAGGAGTTAGCTTAAACTATTAGTATTAAGTTACACACAGGCCTCAGATTCTAGGGGCTGGGACCGTGCAACATGGAGAAACCTAACAGAGGACTACACCAATCAAAACCATTGTACCATTTGTCCTTGTTTCGCCATCTTTTTGATATCAGCGATGATTTTCTTCTCCTGTTGTTCTAATTTGGCCCGTTCCCTGTCCAGGTCTCGGATGGCCCTGTTCAGCGCTCGCTGGTTCTGTTTCAGCATTTCTGCTGGTGTCTTCTTCTTCCCAAACAGCCATTCCAGAGGCATGGTGGCTTATACTGTGGGGCTTTGGGACTGAAAGTTGAACAAATGTATTGTAAAAAGGTGCAATAGCTCAATAGGGAAAAGTGCTTGCTTTGTAACCAGGTAGCCTGGTATCCAGTCTTACGTGATATTGGGGCTGTTGAGCTGTTGGGGTGTTCGGGCAGGTTGTGCCTTCGGGGGCTCTAATAGCTTCCCCCGCCCAGTGCAACAGGCCGTCCCCGTAGGAGTGTTACACTAATAAGAGACAGTATGCTTGGGAATTTGGTTTCCCCCAACACGATACTAACCAGGAGGTTGTGAGTTCAAACCCTGCAGCTGGCTGGGTCATACCAAAGACTTAAAAATGGTAACGTTACATACTGCTTTCTAGATGCTAAGCATCTATGTATACGAAGGTCAAACACACAACACTACCAATGGGCTAGCCCCCTGCTGTAGTGCCTTGTTGCTGAGAATTGTAGCATTTTAATAGTGTGAAGAACTTTAGAGGTTAGAAGAAACACAAAAAATTGACCTGTTTTAATCTTCGAAATGATATCAAAACGCAATTTTGGGGTTTTCCTTCTAGATCCCATGTTGACTACATAAGTTTACAAATGTTCATCGCATCGTTTATACCCATAGATATGATATCTAAATTATAGGACAGAATAGAATTTGATCTAGTCTTGTTTTGACAAGATAACTCCCCTCCCCAAATATCGCACCATCAAATCATGACATTTTACTTCTCTGTTTTCGAAACATAAACACGTTTACGGAAAGCTAGCGTAAATTCAAGACATTCTCTATTAATCTGGAACACCTTTAGGCTCCTTACCTGGTGAGAAAAGTGATGGTTGACGTCTTTTCTGGTGCCTTTTGGTGACAGGAGCTTGTGACTCACACTCACCTGCGAAATAGCAATACGGAAGTATGTATTTTGGTCCTGACGTCACATACACCGCAGCTAGATGCTACAAAATAAGAAGAAAATCTTACTTAAAGTAATCTATTGATCATAAAAGCACCTAATTTTGTGATTTGAAATGATTTATACGACAGTTGTACAGTTTTGCAACCTAAGGTGTGTTTTATTTGAATACAAACGATTTCTATACTGTATTGTGTGTAACTTGGATGCGGTGTATGATGTCACGATCACAAGACGGTTAAGTAGCGCCACCTACCGGAATAATGATGAACAACAGGATCAAGATGGCGGCGCCCATCCACAAAAAAGCGCGCGTGTTTTCACATGACAGCTAGTACCTGTATATCTTCTCTGTGCCAGGAAAAGGGATAACCTGCTGCAAAGTGAAGATGCTGGGCTCCATTCTTCTTCAGCGGTACTCGGTTTTTGGTTGTCAAGTCGTAGATTTTTGCATTCGGAGGTCGGTTCACAGACAGAGCAGCATGTGCATGCTATGGAAAGGCCAACAGTGTATAAGATACACAAGTCACCGGGGTTACTATAGATGGAATCCCCGTTACCTCTGTGTATCTTCAACTCAAAACCCGAACTTGCAATGCTCGAGACCTTTCACAAGACTTGGAAACACAGATCACAGACGTTGCTACCTCTCACATCCAAAGCATGCTCTGTCAACCATAGCCAGAGATCATCAGAAAAACTGTTGTCAGATTCTCCCTTCTCAGAGTAGCAACCATTCTTTCAGGTTTTATGGAAAGGCCTTAGCAACTGAGGAGTATCCAACAGTCACCGCGACGGGCATCAGGCATGTGCTGCGGAAACACAACATTCCCTTCAGTACCGGTTACACGTGCTTCGTCGCAGAAAGCCCGTTCGTCACCAAACGAAAGAAGACCGCCGCCGCGAAGAAGGATTTCTCTCTGTTCATCAACATGACTACGGGTTATTTCACGTGTTTGGAGTCCGGGGTGACGGGAGGGTGGAATTCGCTACAGGACTACCTCGAAGTCGTGCCCGCAAAAGGTCGCGCAAAGAGCACAAAAGCCAAAACAGTCGCAAATCAGGAGAATGGAGGGGAACCCTTTTCCACGATTGCGTCATTAAACAACGTAAAAACGCAGTCGCAAATTGTCGACGACACTTGGAATCATGCCACACCCATAAAGGAGACCGATAAGGCAGTACTGAATACAATATTATCCAAACTCGGCGCAGAACACCTATCCCATGATTCCCTGGACAAGTTGAACGTCCGTGTTGACGTGGAGAAGGGCAGCCTGGTTTTCCCGTGGTTCCATCATCATGACAACAGGATATGTGGCATGAAGGTCGTCCAAGGTCGCACGACTGGTAAGGAGATTGAGTACCGTGAGTCGAGCGTTCCGAAGTCAGGGTACTACAACCTGTTTGGGTGTCAGTTGGGAACAGCCGACACAGATGAGGTCATCTTGACAGCGAGCGAGTTAGATGTGGTCGCGCTCAGGCAGGGGCTGCGGAACAGCAAAAGGAACACGATGCTGTTAGCGCTGCCCAAGGGAACAGCATCACTGCCTCAGGAGGTGCTCAGTCTATGACTCTTTTTATTCACACTCTTTGAATATGTAGAAAAAGATCCAATAATTTATATACTTGTATTATACAATATGTATTGGTTGTAGTAACATACATTTTTGTGGTATATTGAGTCCTTGTAATTGTAAAAGTAAAATAGATAAGAAAATACATGTATCACACTGTCAGAATGTATAAAATGAGGTGCTTTGTATTCAAGTGTTAGCTTGCAACTTGAGCTTACACCTGTATCTTCTACGTACATGTATGAATTGAAAAAGTCAACATTATTACAGATTTTTATTTATTACCAACTATATATAATATATTCTGTATCTTTCCAGATTCTGCCATTTCTGGAGAAGTACCGCAAAGTGATCCTGTGGTTTGGCAACGACATGCGATCCTGGGAGGCTTCCAAACAGTTCAGCAGGAAACTCAACACCAAACGCTGCTACTTCATCCGACCTAAGGAGGAGCATCCCCGTCCACTGGACTTCCTCCTCCTGGGGTCCAGCATGGGTCAAGTCGTGTCCGAAGCCCAACCGGTTTGTAATAAATAATGTCTAGATAGTGCTATAACTTATAGTATAAGGTCTAAGGGTTTACAAGGAGTTTAATACTAAGTTACAGAGACAAGGATACAATACAGATACCACAAGCTGTACAATCTAGAAATCTACAGATCACCTTATTAGTATTACACATGTACTCTGTCCTGGGTCCTGAACAGACTGACAAAGTCACTTCCAACTCAACTATGCTAACAATAGTTCTTCACTGATTGGTTACTCTCACTGACCAATCAGGGCCTACTTATCGCGCTAATATATGCAAACATCTCTTTCCATATGCAAACATCTCTTTTCCTATAAATTACCATAATCACAAATGTCATGTCTGTTACAGGTCAACCACAAGTCCATCGTGTCCTTCAGGGAGTTAAGAGAAGATGTGCAGAGGGAGCTGAGTCAAGCCGAGCAAGTCGCAGGCGTCAAGTGGAAACGATTTCCTCAGCTTAACAAGCTGCTGAAGGGGTTTCGGCGCGGGGAGTTGACCGTGTTCACGGGACCGACGGGAAGCGGGAAGACGACGTTCATCAGCGAGTATTCGCTGGACTCCTGCATGCAGGGCGTGAACACGCTATGGGGGAGTTTCGAGATACAGAATGTGAGGTTACTGAAGATGATGCTGTCACAGTTTTCTCAGGTGAAGTTGGAGGCAAACTTGGAGAACTTTGACGAGTGGGCAGACAGATTTGAGGCCTTACCGCTGTACTTCATGACATTCTACGGACAGCAAACGCTAAAAAACGTGACAGAGACCATGCAGCACGCGGCGTACGTGTACGACATCGAACACGTCATTGTGGATAACTTACAATTCATGATGGGGACTGAAACCTCCATCGGCGTAGATCGCTTCCGCCAGCAAGACGCCATCATCGCGACATTCCGGAAATTCGCCTCAGCCAACAACTGCCACGTGACGCTCGTCATCCATCCACGGAAGGAAGAGGACACCAACGTGTTACAAATGGCGTCAGTGTTCGGAAGCGCGAAGGCAGTACAAGAGGCAGACAATGTGCTGATCCTACAAGACAAGCGACTTTCAACTCAGCAAGGGAAAAAGTTTCTGCAGATTGTGAAGAATAGGTTTGACGGAGAGCTGGGCGTCATGCCACTGAACTTCAACAAGGACACCCTGTGCATGTCCACACCAAAGACTCCCAGAAGAAAGAAAGTAGATGTAGAGAAGCAGCCGACTGAAAGTAGCCCGAGTGAAGACAACATAGATCTACCTCTTGTCCAGGACTGAGACAATGCAGAAAGCTTTTTAGCAGTAAAATTGCACCTAACAGTACAATTATATTTGTAAGGTCTTAGGTCTGCTCTTTTTCCAATGTGCAAATTACTTGCAAACTAGATTTGTACTGAACACTAATTTATACTAGTAGTTTAAGGATGGACATAGTCAAAATGAGGTGCTCTATTTCTGAAATTTTGCAATGTTATTAAAAAGTCGTGCCATCCAGTGATGATTATGCTTTTTAGGACAATCTCACCTTTTATATAGACATGAAACTCAAGTCAAGGTCCTACATCCCAAAGTTTTTGTAATTTTTGTAGTATACTAGTACTAAGTTACTAACCTATGAGTAAGTACACCAGGCAAGCTACAGGAATCATCTGTTGTTGGATGGTACCAATAGTTTTGCTTCTACTAGTAGGCGAAGAAGAAAAAGAAGTGTTATATTTTGCAAAATAAATCATTAACATCTATTTTGTAATGCATCTTTCTTTTGTAATCTCTATAAAGTATAATCATGGCTGTGCACCTTTGACTTTATCTCTTGTGCAAAGGAAATGAAAATGACTTACCGAGAAGGAGTGTTGACATTGAAATTGTTTATTTCAAAACATCAAGGATACACACTGCATTTTCTTCAACAATGCTGCACTCGATTTTGCTGTAAAATAATACTTTACGAAACATTGCACTTTGTTTTACAAAAATATACGGCACCGGACAAAAAACGTACCTCGTTCAAACTATGACATTTTTCACACTGGCCACAAACAACATACAAACATGGCTCCCTCTTTACTACTAATGCTAGCGTATTGCACATTCAGTCATCTTGGTAGGTATATGTTACATATTGACACAGACTTTGGGTTTGAAGATTTGCAGCTGAAATGTACAGATATCATCCAGACAAGGAATATTAATATCACTTTATCTGAAACTGCATCTCACAATAGATTCATATTTTTGATATGCATTCCTTGCACCATTCATTTTTTTTATGGTAGAATTCATAATCTTTGCAATGGAGATGTTACAGCTTTGAGCTGTTACAATAAGTTTCCAAATAATATATTACACTTGAGATTGACAAACTTTCCCAACATTGCTTTAACTCTCCTCCTACTGTACCTCCCTTGAACATGTACCATGAGTGTAAAAATGACCCCCGTGAAGAGGGTTAATACATACATTTTGTACAATGACAATGTTGTTCAACAAAGATAAAACATACATTTAACATAGAATGAGAGATATACATACGAGTAAGTCAACCCTAATACATAAAGTGATTTTGTTAAAAAATTATAGTGATATATTTTGATGAATTCATTCTCTTCAATGCTATAGAATAAAATCATATTGTTTACCACAGAATATACAACGACAAAATTTCCATAATGTTAAAGTTTGCATGATTGTTACTGACAATTTTGCTACCACCTACCAACCTGATGAATACATTCAAGGAATTGTACATGTATATTTGCTAGTTTTCCATCTCCAATCTTTGATACCAGTGCAGGGAGCCTGGTTTACGGCATATATACATGTACCTTTCACATGATATTCTTCCCTTTTGTAACATTTAAGACAAGGTGGAAGATAATCTTATAATACTCAACTTGTTTTATAAAACTTATCAAATGGTGGTAGATAAAAATAAAATTAAAAAACAATCATAGCTTTACACCACTATAGTAATTGACCAATCCAGTAACATTTCAGGATATTGCTACTGTAATGTCAGTAAAGAACTTTGCCTTGTTCAATTTGTAAAGAAAGGCGAAATGAATAAAAAGAAAGAATTGTAACCCATCAAATTGCCGACTTGACAATGATACAATGGAAAATTCATAGTAATATGACATATGCATATGATACCAAAATTGAAAAATGATAGAATCAGAAATTTTGAAGTTCCTTCACATTGAATAAGAAGAAGAGCTTAATAATGTTACATAATTATAGATGACCTTACATGTATGAAGCTACATGTAGATAGCTACAGTGTAGATATTTTTAGGAACTTACCGTGTACAAATTACAAAAAAAAAGAACAAACATGATGAAAAAGCCAGGTTTAAGGTTTACATAATTTCTACATAGTACTTAACATATAATATTATGTTTCCATGTGCAACTTTTTTTTTTACAGCTGGCAGCCACTGCCTTGTAATCAGGGCATCTTCTAAGCATGAAAATCACAGGTGAAAATGATTTCAGACAAGAGCCTTGTCTGAAAGGACTTGTCCTACAATGTTATTTTGTAAACAAAGGTGAAATGAATATAAGAAAAAATTTTTACCCATCAAATTGCCGACCTGATGATGACACAATGAAACAATGCAAAATTCATGGTAATATGATACGTGCATATGATACCATAATTGAAACATGATAGAATCAGAAATTTTACAGTTCCTTTGCATAATTCTAGATGACCTAAGACTTACATAATGAAGCTAGATATTTTAGTTTGATGTAAACACTCTTTGGACTTACCGTGCAGAAATTACAAACAAATAAAATACTTTTAAATTTGTGAGAACAAATGTTATGAAAAAAACAGGTTTAAGGTTTACATTATCAATTTCTACATAGTACATTAGGCCACAGCAAGTAAATTTTATGGATGACATTCTCCGCAGACTCCAAATCTAATGCGAGTGGGCAAGAAAAAAAAACAAGGCGGGCTGAAAAAAACAAGGTTCCTACATTTTAAAATTTTGACTCAAGCATTGTACAAATGGTTTTGATTCAGTAGGAACATCACATATACACAGTCAGCATCACTGCATCAGAGTAAGAAACAAAACATTATATCAGAGCCTTTCCTTGTCTCCTCTCTTCATAGTTATCTGCCATCCACCTTCTGGCATGGCAATAGACATCTTTGGCATGTTGACCACTGTCAGAAGGCAACAAAATTTCTTGTTTTTTTCCCAAAATCAGGCGAAAATCAATGCACGCGCTGATGTCATCCATAAAAATTACTTGCTGTGGCCTAACATATATTTTCCATGTGCAACTTTATTTTACAGCCGGCAGCTTGTAATCAAGGTATCTTCTAAGCATGAAAATCACAGGTGAAAATGATTTCAGACAAGAGCCAGTCTCTTTTTAACACATGTAGAAAACAATGTGTTTGTTGTTGCTATATTCTGGGTTATTTAGAACCAACACTCCCTATTGCTATATTCTGACACTATTGAAAGGTGTTCCGTTAGGAGCTCCCTGAAAATGTTGACAACATTATTAAGATCACAGCGTTCTTGTAACGCAATTTTGAAAACATTTACCTGGTTGATGTTTCAGTAACTCCTCAGCTACCTTGATCAGGGGCTGAATGGATAGTGGTTTGTTGATCATTGATAATGAAAATTTCAGCTTGATAGCATTTCAAACTGTGTGGCGTCCTGTGGCTGTTCAAGAGGTCGTGGGTTCGACTCCTGATATTCCTGGCTAGACCTAGTGTCCTTTGGAAAGACACTTTACACGGCTTTCCTCACTCCACCCAGGTGTAACTCGTAAAATAGGTATATGACCTCAGTTGGGGAGGTAAAAGGCAGTGGAAGGAGAGGGATGGGCTCTGCCTTCCAATACCATGCCGTAGACACAGTGGATCAACAACCCACTGCCCCTACAGCCTCAAAAATGGGACTATCTTTTACTGTCCAGTCAGTCCCTGATGAAAGAAACTGAGAAGTTACCAAAATATCCACCAGGTAAATGTTCTAAAACTTGTGTTATAAGAACCCTATGTTCTTAGTATTATGATACTCTGCAAATGCAGAAACCAGTGAATGATGATGATCATCATCAATCTGATGAAGCTAACAGCATTTTAACGTTATCAAGATCTAGACGCACGTTCTTGAGTAACTCACTGGCGCTGTGTACACGTTGTACGGTTAAGGCTGACACTTTTCCGTGGTTATATGTACAATCTTCTTGTCCTGTAGCTTCAGCAACTGTACAAATTCGGACGACATGGAGTGGCCGCTACTCTGGTAGCCTTTGTCGTAGTAGTGGTATGTCACGTTGTTCCCCTGACAGTTGAGGTCAAACGGCCAGAAACCATAGAGGTGAACCTCCTGACAATAGGAAATCGCCGCACTGGCCAGAAACAAACCTAGGGAAAACAACAAACAAGGGGCACATATAGGATGGTGGAAATGTCTTAACCTTCAGCCTACCAAATTTGTATGTTTAAAAAGTTAGGCAGCAGACATGTACTTGATGCACACTCATGAAAGTTCTCTTCCCAGCTGAATTTGTTCACTGGTGGAGTGCTTGCTTTGCTTGCAATATGTCTTATTTGTTTTATAACATGCTATGAAGGAGAAGGAAAAAATTATTGTAACAATAGAATATGGTAATGATAGAATACTGTCACAGTAAGTTCATTTATTTGGGGAGGAGGTACTAGTAAGTTGATTTGATTTTGTGGAGGAATTTAGGAAAAGGAAAAGTTTTGTTCATTGGCACTGTTTGGTAGTAATACATAGTACAATGTACATGTACATTGAATTTCACGGTGTCACGAATTCGTGAAGAAAATTCATGTTGCAAACACTGCAACTGCAAACCACTTCAAACATTTCAAGACTTGCAGTAGTTGCATCATAAAAACAAAAACTAAGCTGCTACACAGGGTAATTTTCCTACTGACCAGTGGATAGTCTCTTCCCCTGTGGTAGTCCCTGGTCACTCCAGTATTTCCCCAACATCCGCAGGTGGTTTGGGTGGGGAAACACAACTCTCTGTTGGGCATTCGCACCCTAAGGAAAACAACACATTTTCAGAGATACATTATATACTATATCACTAAATTGTCTGTTACATGGTTTATTTTTTTCCTAATTCTTCAGCAAGCATGTAGCCAAGGCTGCTTATCTAGTTAGCTAGTACCAATCAATCAATGAATCGATCAGTCAATCAATGAATGAATCAATCAATCAATCAAATCTTAATGCAAACACAATTGCAGGTGCAATGTATGGTAAATTTCCAAATGTTATAGCCAAAGTAGCCATCATACTAGGCTGATAAAATTCTGAAGGTCTAATGCAATCATATCAATCAATAAAAACATCTGTAACACCTAAAAGGGCAAGACAAGGACTTTCTGTAAACAGTTGTAGTCATCATTCATGATCATATCCTGACTGAAACACTTAATCTTTTTTATGTGCAAAGCATAAAAAATGTGAAGAAGTAAAGAAGCAGGAAGTGAAATTGCTGTGGCCTCAGGACTAACCTGCAGGGTTTTATGTGCATAGTATGCCAGCTGCATGTTCCTTCTATAGGAGAAGGCAGGGATCCAGATCAGACTGTCATTGTATGCACTGATGTCCTGCAGGAAGAGGTTGCGAACTCCCCTTTCACTCAGTTTCTTATACCTATCAGCAAAAAGGAAAGAAAATCCTTAACTAGAAAAGTAACGTTTGCAAAGCAAATGCATAATGTTTACCTTTGCATATGGTCTGCTCTGTTAATTCTTACTCAAACATATTTCGTATATAAGGTGCCAGGAGCCTAAATCCCTCCTGCTATTTAATTGCAACAAGATGTAACCCAACACCAGTTACCATGGTGACAGGCGTCTGGTTCAGGTCATTGACCTTATTGGTTTGGAGAAGAAGAGGAAGAAGAAACAGAGCAAACAATATGTTTTCCTTCAGTAAACATAAAAAGAAGACATTGGAAGACCATATAATTGTGTAATAAATGCACAGAGAATCAGTACTATTGTACAGGTTTAATTTGTGGGGTCACACATGACAAGAAATAATCGTAAAAAAATGAAAAAAAGATTTGACTAAGGACATATGGTAAGAGACAGATTTTTTCCCGAGGGTTGAAAAAGACGTAATTTTCAGAACAAAATGTTGTTACCTTTGAAATCCACAGTAACACACACAGAAGGCACAAACTGCACATCACGGGGACATGTGTACAGCCAACAAAGAACAAAACAAACAAACAAACAAAAGGACAGATTTTAGCAAAGACCACACCGGCACAAAGGACAATATATAGTCCAATCAGGAAGAATAGGGTAGCTTTGTAACGTTAACTCAAGTGCACATTAATCTTAGTTAAATAAATTCATCTTTTTGATCCTTTAAAATCAGTACAGACATTCAAACTGAGTAATACAGGCAAAGATTTTAGAGAGTGTACAGTAGCAAACTTGCCATTTTTGTGAGGCTTTAATGCCAACTGTAAATAAAATTGTTGGTTGCTTTACGAGGAACGTTTGCTTTCAAATGGCAATTTGACCCACAGTTAGAATAATGTGGATTTTTAGTGTCCTTAGAATTTACTAGAGATAGAATTTGCCAAATGTTCCTAGTAATTAAAGATTCAAATAATTTCATAGATATGAGATAGAGATTTGTATAAAATGTTTCAAGGCCACCCAAAAACTTCCAACAGAGCATCACAAAGAAAGTGAATTCAGAATGCAGCATCTCAATTGAGAAAACCAGGGGTCTGCCTATTTACCGGAATACACCGGAAAACAGAGTTAAACACCGGAAAACACCGGAAAACACATATAGGAGGCTAAAATCTACCGGAATACACCCTGATATGATGAGATAACATACCGAATTGCTGTATTTTGACATGAAGTAACGTGTATATCGCCGCGGGAACAAGAAATCGTTATGAATTGGCGATCGGTGATCGCGTAGGCGAGCCGACCAGTCGCCATGTTTGTTTACATTGCCGACTACGAAATGTTTGTTTAACGCGATCGCCGTACAGAAGTGAAATTTACCGAAATGAAAAGGTCTTTGATGCAGGTACCGCAAGTTGCTACATTCTGGCATGAAATAAGTCGTATATGACTTTGTTATATGACGTTGGGAACAAGAAATCACTATGAATCGGCGGAGTCGACCCGGCCAGACGCCATGTTTGTTTACTTAGCAGTCGGCTATAACGCTATTTTTCTCTCTTGTGTATTTTAGAGTCATTTCTGAGCAACTAACCAACGAAGTAATACTGATGTTTTCAGTACATTCATGTGCCTGTCGGTACATTTTACGACTGAGAAAATAGAATATTGAAAATGCATCTATGTTTTGGACGACTAAATTTCACGGAACGGGGCAAATAAAGAGTTCGCGATGCATCTAAGTTAGCGAAAAAAAAAGAACCAAATAGTTGAAATACAAAAGGAAATGCCGCCTCTTTATAGACCGGATCACTTAAATCATTTTCCGATCGCGGGGAACGCGCGGTCACAACATCGCAGCACTCAAATACACTACCGGATAACACTAATGTGACAACATGTGAAGTACCGGCCGTGCGTGGCGACGGAGCGCCGCGCACGTGTTTACCATTTTCAAGAGTTCACAAAATTTTTAGGACAATACTAAATTCTGGAGCGCCGGGTGTCAGCGGAAGACACACATTGAATGGGGCCACCTTGCCTGCTGTAACCTGGCCGGACCACGGAAAAGTTAGCTCGGCGTAGCTAGTTTATAAAAAATTCGATTGCGGAGGAGTGAGCCTGTGCTTCCGAATTTAAAATTTGATGCAAACCAAAGAACGAGGGGCTACTGGGGCTTTACTATTCTGAACGGGAACGAGCGAAAAGGTTTTTTAAAAATATCTCGTAAACTACTGCTTATGTCACAAAATCAAAGGTGGAAAGCTTCTCGTCGCTGGGACGTTCCCACGTGTTGCCAAGACGAGTCGGCACGTCCTGATCAGACAGAGCGGCGTCACGCCCTCAGCACAGGCATGGCCCCGCCCACCGGGCGGACGGCAAAAGATTTCAAAGGCCCAAATATTGTAGCAAACCCCGCATTTTCACTTCGTACCGCTGGCTGGTATAGTCCCGCTCCAAATTAATTTTCCTGTAGCATTTCTTAGGATTTAAAGAGATTTCGTGATACGAAATGAAAAGATTTCTGTCAACTGAACCTTTGTAACGGCATGCATTACATGGATATAATCTTTGTTAAAGATTTCTGTGTTAACTAGAGCCGAAAGTGCATTAGAACTGGCCATCATCAGTTGAGGCACAACTACCATGTTATATTCGTGTTACGTTACGACGAAAAAGAACGTTCACGGCGTGCAGACCATTTTAAATCTTACCAACCCTCTTAGAATTGTTTTTACTCTTACGGGGGTATTTATTTTCGGCCGTGGTTCCACTGAGATCGGCGGCTGGCTGGCGAACGCCGGATGCGCCCCCCTCTGGATCCGCGGGTGCATGTAGCTGCTTTATCCAAAGTAATTATAAGCATGCTTTCTTTATCATTTTGGGCATACAAAAACGAAGTCACTGTTCAACACAAATCAAGTTCCTTTATAGATAATTTTGTTAACGTTATATAAATATAGGTTAATACGTTAACATGAACGTAACTGTGAGTATGACCTGGACGGTATTAAAAGAAACACATATAAAAATACACATTTTCCCCGGGAAATATGCAAATCTTACATCACGTGTGCCTGCTACGCGTCTCTGATTGGTTGAGTTTCTCTGCCGGCAAAAACAAGCGTGGGGACGCCCGCTCAAATAGTTTTCTTTGTTTGAAAAGTAACGCTAATTTCCACCACTACATAACGAAATTCTTGTGAATAAATGTATAACTCAAAAAGTCTTTAGGGGAAATAAATATTCTTATCCGGATTTTTGGTGTATTTGGTGTTCTTTATTCATGATCGAATGGTGCCGAAGTCAGCGTACCCTGACGCTCATGAGCGATTCGCGATCGCCTAAATATCGCTGAAGAGAACATGTTCAGATCCTGGCGATTATGTTTTAGATCGACTACGATAAAATTTCAGGGCTGTCCTCGGCAAAATCAGATGAAATTTCAGTGTCAAGCTTTGCAAGAAAGTATCAAATGCCGCCGCTCGCTGACGCACGCACTCGCTCTGTGCGGGTCATTGACCTTCGATTTGCGTTGCTTCCGGAAAATGTCTGGCAGTTTTATCGTCGGATTTTTGCGCTTTTATCCAACAGACCGACCTCGTAGCAATCATTCACGGGTATCCTATGCTACTATCTTTCTTCCAACTAGTTCGGAGTTGTGTGCACTGTGTATGGGAACCGCATCAATCTGAATAATCAATTCTCTTCTGTGATGGCGCTAAACAAACATCGTAGTCCGCAATGTAAACAAACATGGCGACTGGTCGGGTCGCCTCCACCGATCGCTAAATTATAATTTCTTGTTGCCGGGTTCCTGCGGCGATTTACACGCTATTTAATGGCAAAACACAGCAATTTGGGATGTTATCTCGTCTAAGCAGGGTGTATTCCGGTAGATTTTAGCCTCCTATATGTGTTTTCCGGTGTTTTCCGGTGTTTAACTGTGGTTTCCGGTGTATTCCGGTAAATAGGCAGACCGCCAGGACTGACTTTTTCTCTAGGATGCTGGGGTTGAGGGTGATCAGGGAGGTTTTGGACCCGACATCTTCACTGAACACCGCGTTTACTGGAGCCAAGTTACATCTGTGGAAGGAGGAAAAGGTGTAAGAAAGGAGGAACATTGTAGGACATTGTACAATATACCAGGCCTTCAAATACCTCCTGCATACATGCAGATTGATGTAGCAGAATTGGAGCTGTGCAGGTGTTCCTGATCTCTACCAGTACTGGTTCATGTTTTGTTCTGAAATTGCCATACATATATAGTATAAGAGCCACAGCTGTTGTATTCTAAGCCCTGATATACAATAGTCTCAAGATTTAAGTCAGCTCTCAGAAGCACACTAGTACTGGAGTTACCAGTAGCCATTTGGCTAAGAATTCTCTTTCAGTTACTGGATTAGGCAGCGGTGAAACTGGCACTACTTAATGCTTGGTGAACATATATCTATCTGAGTATCAGTATCAACTGTTGACAGTTACTCTGCCATTTCAATGACTGTAGAATTGGTAAGAAAATTGACTGCAACTGCTATTGATTACATCATGATCTATATGCACCTAAGTATCAATAGCTATTCTGCCATTTCAATACTTGTATTATAGAATTGATGAGAAAACTGGTACACATGTAGACTGACCTTATAACAAACTCTGAGGCGTCGATCTTCTTCCCACACTTACTGCCCAGGAGGATCCCTCCGTTCCCCACCACACTGCAGCTCTTAAAGAACTGGCCACTCAACGAGCTGTTCTGTGGGGCAAGGGGAAAATATATAATTACATTGTAGGTCTGTACTCCGTTCAAAGCACCTGTTACAGAAGACCATGATATATATTAAAGGCATCCAACTTCAGGATGGCAAAACAAAAAATACTTTGGATGAGGAAATTTGATATACTGCCATTTCTTTGCACATTTTTATCTTCATTTCATGTATCTAAAGCATTCGAAATAGCCCAAAACAAGCTATGTGAGGCATCTATATATTTTTGAGTACCACCCATAAATAGCTAGAACCAGCCTACGATACAAGAAAAAAAGCATTTGTTTTCTATCAGTGACATAGATATCAATATGCTTTGGAATGATTCAGCTTACTACATTAAAAGAATGACTAGAAGATTGACTTTGAAAATCAAGTTTTGCCACCCTGAAATTGCATTGCATGCCTTTAACTTCAGAACGTTCTCTATTCAACAACCAGTGGGTTCTTACATTTGAATTTCGGTGAATTCCTGTCACCTTCAGGTCAACAATGAATGGTTCTGATTCGTACTTGACAATACGTCACAACCTTCTACATTTCGGGGACCACATTTGAAATTGCAGCACGAATCAGAACCAGTCATTGTTGAGACCTGAAGGTGACAGGAATTCACCGAAATTTCAATGTAAAAATCCACTGGCTGTTGAATAAAGAGCCTTGAAGTTCACATACAGAGTCCTTGCCAACTTGATGAAATTATTCGTGCACATAGTATTTTGAATGTTGATGATCACAGTGAAAATGGATGATCATTCATTATGTTTTGAACTCCTGATCCTTTCTTCCTCATAGCATATTAGATACACATGTAATTGAGCCGTTAGGATTCAAACGCCACAATCCCTTACCTGAGGGAGCAGGCCAGTTGTTCTGTGGGTGATCTTTAGGACAGACTTGTCTCCATCGAATCTAAGCAGAGAGCCCTTGGGGACATTCTGCCTAGTTGCAATGAAGAGGTCTCGAACATGGCAGCACGTCTCAAGGGATTCCCTGGGGAAAAAAGAAAGAAGAAAGTAATTTAGGCAGCCTGTATAGGATTAGAAACAGTAAGAAGTCAGCCTGGGCATACATCCCCAAGCTACTCATATTTCTCATATCAAATTTTAAAAGACTGTTGGCAGAACATACTGCACCTGTGCAAAATTCAGAGTTATAGATGACATCCTGTCTAGTTTTCAAATGTTGTGTCAGAAAAGGCATCTTGTCAATGGACAAAATGCAATGATTGATCAAATATCCAACAGAAACCATACATTTGTAGTTTTGTGCAGGCACATTGCGTTCTGCCAACATTCAGTAATTGTACATTATTTCATGAGTAACACAAGATATATACAAAGAATTTATCTACTAGTAGTAACTGTTATTAATCTTGTATACATATGGGTAGTCCCTTCTGCCAAATAGGGACATAAAAAAGGATGTAAAACATACAAGTCAAATTAGACTGTGATAAATTAATAATATACAAGGTAAATGAACAATGAAACATTATATAATGGTAAATCATTAATATGTTAGAATCAACATCATGATAGTACTATTGGATGACAGGAATGATTTAACATAGTTATATATGTAATGCAACAGATATCAGCAAGCTAACACGGAAACTGTGTAGAAATGGTAGCTAGCTTTTATAACATGAAAAAAAGGTTGAACAAAGAAGGCTCTTGTTTAATAAATGGTTGAATAAAGAACTTTAAAATTTGCTATTCAACCATTCAACAACCTGATTTAACTATTTACAGATGAACAAACCTTAGTTCTTCGATGGCGGTGTAGTTGAACTTCCATTCGTTTTCTTCTGTTGTGGTCTTCTTGTACCCGTACCCGAGGAAGTCATCTTCGTAACTATGCGGGTGACAAGCCTCCAACACGGGAGTGTGTTTCACGGGTTTCTTCTTCGGAGGTTTGATGATTTTGGCCTCGTTGCGTACCTCTCGCCTGGCAGGGAACCACGGTAGAAGTGACCAGGGCTGTACGCGATCTGAGAACAGCGTTCCTGAGTCGGCTTTCTCTTTTCTAGCAGGGAACTTGTGGGCTCTGGAAAAAAAGAAGGAAAAATAGAGTCTCTGTAGTATCTATTGTGTTAACATGTCACATTCAGGAAATAAACTAATGAATAACATGGCATATTTGGCATAGCTGTTTTAACTTTCTGCTAGCTACCCATTCCTTGAGCATATACAAATTAGGTGTTAGAAAGCTACCTTGGTATAGGGAGATTGTTAACTTTTAGAGGGCCTACATGACTGGGGTCTATGACAAATTCAGGAAGGCTGAGGCTATATCATATGCTACATCATGGCAGGCTGGCTATAATGCTTTATCATAATGCTAAATTCAGGCATAAATAAAGCTCTGTGCAAAATGCACTGGCTACACTCTATTGCAAAGAAGTAAATAATATATTATAGAACATTGGTGTAGAGTGAAATCTACAACTATAGCTTATTCCTGACATCTGTGGCATTGGATGGTGATGATAAAATTGGGCCAAGTTGGCTACAAAATATGTATCAAAAACTGAGAATTAAAATGGCTAATAACGGAAAAAAAGCATACAAACTTCCTTTAGCTATGAATGATTTCTTTAAGAAAAAGACCTGTGTGAGGAGACGTTGAAGACAGTTGGATGCGAGGTCCAGCCATGGCGTACTTCCATCCACGTGATGCCGATCACAACAAGGTTGATGATCCCCAGGGCAATGACCTTTCGCTTCATCAGAGAGCTGAGGGGCGGAGCCTTCTCAACACTGGAATATCAGAACAGACAATGGTTACAATCAAGTCAGTGTGAACGTTTTCAGCACCAAGGAAGAGAGGTGAGAGAAGAGAAACGCTTTCAAGAAAAGTAATGTCTGTATAAATGCTATTCAGCACCAAGGACAGGGGTGAGAGAAGTGCTTTTTAGAGACAGTAATGTCTGTATGAATGCTTTTCAGCACCAGGGACAGGGGTGAGAGAAATGCCTTCCCTTGACAGTAATGTCAGTGTGAATGCTTTTCAGCACCAGGGACAGGGGTGAGAGAAATGCTTTTCAGGGACAGTAATGTCTGTGTGAATGGTTTTCAGCACCAAGGACAGGGGTGAGAGAAATGGTTTTCAGGGACAGTAATGGCTATGTGAATGCTTTTCAGCACCAGGGACAGGGGTGAGAGAAATGCTTCTCAGGGACAGTACTGTCTGTGTGAATGCTTTTCAGCACCAGGGACAGAGGTGAGAGAAATGCTTTTCAAGGACAGTAATGTCTGTATGAATGCTTTTCAGCACCAGGGACAGGGGTGAGGGAAATGCTTCTCAGGGACAGTACTGTCTGTGTGAATGCTTTTCAGCACCAGGGACAGGGGTGAGAGAAATGCTTCTCAGGGACAGTAATGTCTGAGTAAATGCTTTTCAGCACCAGGGACAGGGGTGAGAGAAATGCTTTTCAAGGACAGTAATGTCTGTATGAATGCTTTTCAGCACCAGGGACAAGGGTGAGAGAAGAGAAACACTCTTTAGGGACAGTAATGTCTGTGTGAATGCTTTTCAGCACCAAGGACAGGGGTGAGAGAAACACTTTTCAGGAACAGTAATGCCTGTGTGAATGATTTTCAGCACCAGGGACAGGGGTGAGAGAAGAGAAACACTCTTTAGGGACAGTAATGTCTGTGTGAATGCTTTTCAGCACCAGGGACAGGGGTGAGAGAAACACTTTTCAGGAACAGTACTGTCTGTGTGAATGCACCAAGGACAGGGGTGAGAGAAATGCTTTTCAGGGACAGTGAGGTCTGTGTGAATGCTTTTCAGCACCAGGGACTGGGGTGAGAGAAATGCTTCTCAGGGACAGTACTGTCTGTGTGAATGCTTTTCAGCACCAAGGACAGGGGTGAGAGAAATGCTTTTCAGGGACAGTAATGTCTGTATGAATGCTTTTCAGCACCAGGGACAGGGGTGAGAGAAATGCTTTTCAGGGACAGTGAGGTCTGTGTGAATGCTTTTCAGCACCAGGGACAGGGGTGAGAGAAATGCTTTTCAGGGACAGCAGGGCTCGAAATACTGGGTGCATGTGCACCTTAGTGCACCCAAAATTTGAGCTGTGCACCCATTTTTTTCTGTGGGTGCAGTGGTGCACCCAAATACTTTTGTAGGTATTTTTTACATATCAAATGCATAATAGTATACAGGATATTCTTGGCATGAGTGTCTTTCTGCACCTGGGACAGCAGTGAGAAAAAATGAAGCATTCAGTGTGAATGACAGGACAGCTGTGTCAGAAGGTCATTCAGCACCAGGGACAGCTATGACAGCAAGAACGTATAATCTAGTCAATGTATTTCAGCACTTGGAACAGCTATGACGGAGAAGATGCCATTCAGTGTTAATGACAGGTACAGCAATATCAGTGTGAAAGTCACTCAGCACCAGGGACAGCTTGACAAAATGAATCTATGGTTTAGTCTACATGACAGGGACAACAATGCCAGTGGGAATATCATTCAGCACCATGGACAGCTGTGATTGGAAAGATGCCCTTCAGTATAACAGCAATATCAGCGTGAATGTCATTCAGCACCAAGGACAGCTGTGATTTCATTGTAACATAATGGCTTGGTATATTATATTAGCGAAGTACTGCTAAAATGGAATAAAAATATCACTATTCTGCCTCTATAGTTACAGAACCTATGTCGCGTAGTAAACTATGTCATTCTGCACACGCTATTCTGCCACTCACACTGCACACTTAACCTAGTTCAAAGAGGCTTTTTGAGCTCTTCAAAATCCTGCAACAGAAATAAATAGATCCTTCAAAAAGCTCTTTGCCATACTCTAAACTCATATCTACATGACCCCAATTTCAACAAGTATGACAGAAGAGCACATCTCCAAGATTACTTAGGCGACAAGAAGGCTTTTCAGGTCAACTTCTTGGAACTCAAGAGACATCTGATTTGAGAGTATTAACATTTATGAAGAAGATGCAATTTCTTGATCTAATACTGTAAACTCTTGAAATATCTGCAGTAAGACTTTTAAGTTCTATATTTCAAGGTGTGGCTTTTGTCATACATGGGCTCTGGCTTATGTCCCATTCGAGATGACATTCCTAACCAAAGCTAGGTACTAATTTTCACCTGAGTCTAGCGACGAATTAGGTGTAAAGTGCCTTTCCCAAGGGTACAACATTGGGGCCTGCTAGGGATTTGAACCCAAAACCTTTAGATTCTATGTCAACATCCCTAACCACAAAGCTAGCTCAACATCCTCCAGCTTCTAAACGTCTGCATGGTTACCTGTGCCTGTACCTGATGTTACTATTAGATATATAGCACTAAATCCAAAATGATGTCAAGTATGAATATTTTATGCATGCTTAACCAGTGTAACATATGATAATGAAATTCAACACCTTCTGTCTGCCAAAATACTGTTGTGACAAAACAAGAAGAAAAACAGATCAACATTTCAACTCTAATATTGACAGCATAACAATTAACATACTGGCAACAAGCCTTTACATCAATTTTCAAGCACACATTCACAAAGCTATGGCAAATTTTGATTTACGGGAAAACTATGGCTTACAAACCTTTTGCAAACATTTCTTTTTACCTTAATCAAGAGCGCTGTAGCTTGAAACTATCCTGTCAATGATTTTCATGTTCTGCTATGGCTAAATACATGGTAAAAATGATTTTATGTATTTATGATAATCTGGCAATGTTTCATGGTGCCATGCTCCAGCTCATGTGATGTTAAAGGATGAGCCACATGCTGGTTTTTAATAAGCGGATGTGGTTTCACCTCACTAGCGATGCCCCAGGGAAAGCAAGCCGAGTGTCTGCGTGTTCTGAGTGCCCAGAATGTCAGAATCCCCGTCAAGATGGTTATTTTGTCTGTCTTATAATCACCAAGCAGATTCTGTGGTGGCTGAAAAGACTATTTGGCCAGGCAGTATCTAACTGCCAGACAGTTACTATTTGCCAGGCAGTATTACCATTTGCCAACTGGAAAATAAGATTTCGGTAAAAAAAGCCTGTAAAAATGACTAAAACACGTCAAGCCTATTAACACCTTGCTGGCAGACTACAGTATAACTTGAATTTACAACTAGCTAAAATACTCATAGTACAAATGACACTTCATAGACATACATATTTGGAGAGGGGAACATGTAATGTGAACATACATTGTACATATAGATGTATATAGTCTTAGAATTTTTAAATCTTTTTTGTCAAGTCCAAAAATGCTGAGTGTCTGGTGGTGGAATTGTTACCTTTAAGGCAGTTCTATCTTAAAAAGTTTTTATCGTATAAGCGTATAAGGCCACAGCAAGTAATTTTTATGGATGATATCAGCGCGCGTATTAATTTTTGCCTAATTTTGGAAACAAAGAAGAAATTTTGTTGCCTTCTGACAGTGATCAACATGCCAAAAGTGGGCAAAGATGTCTGTTGCCATGCCCGAAGGTGGATGGCAGATAACTATGAAGAGAGGAGACAAGAAAAGGCTCTGATTTAATGTTTTGTTTCTTACTTTGATGCAGTGATATGTGATACTGGCTGTGTATATGTGATGTTCCCACTGAATCAAAACCATTTGTATAATGATTGAGTCAAAATTTTTGAATGTAGGAACCTTGGTTTTTTTTCGGCCCACCTTGTTTTTTTTTTGCCCGCTCGCATTAGATTTGGAGTCTGTGGAGGATGTCATCCATAAAATTTACTTGCTGTGGCCTAATGTACATATTGATCCATCCTTAAAGCTTGAAAATCACCTTATTCTAGATACACGTTGCATGTCTAGTTAGCCTTTTTCATACACCTACAAGCTATTCACACATTCAATTTGGCATGAGTTCAGCCCACTGGTCAGGCCAAGATGCTGTATTCCATTAAAGGGTCTTTTGAGTCCTTCAAGATTCTTTTAAGTCTTCGACTTTGATTCCCCAATGGACTTTAATGTAAAGGGTCCATCTTTGAAGTCTTTTGAGAGTTTCCCTTCTTTCAATTACAATTCCCTTTGGACTACCCTGTATCTCAGAAGATGTCATCTACTAGATATGCTTTGTACAGGCTGTTGGCTAATAAGACAGACAATTGTCTACAAAAGTGCATGGTAAGGCCACACCAATTTAAGTTGTTGGTTCTAGGATTTTTTCTGAAAAAATATGAAGCGACAGGGCAACAAAAAAAATAAAGAAATAAAAGCAGGTCTAGGCATCCTATTATAGCCCCAAATGGTCGATAGGAGCCATGAAGTCGACACAAAAGGCTGGGTTAAAATCTAAAGAATGAATTTTGAACTTTTAATCAAACCACTGCATTGATAGAAGGAAAAACTGTATCAACTAGGAAGAAAAGGACTTTCCTTAACTGTTGGGTGCAAAATATGAGCATTTTTGAGTTGATTCAGAACCAGAATCTTTTTTTTATTTTTGCAAATCAGAAAAAAATGGAGAGGCGAATCCGAGAACCAACAAATTAAATTGGTGTGGCCTGAGACGTGTGATCCTTTTTGAAGGAGGAATACCATGATCCCCTGTCACAATTTAGCATTCTTTGCAAAGGATTTCTCTCATTGCAAATGATGAATTTCAAACTACTACCACGATTATCAAAGCAAGCTTATTTTCAATAGATAACTAGTTCATTTGTATATCATCCGTGCAATGAACTAAAAACATAATATGAAAACACAGAAATGTGTAAATTAGGCCCTTTAGATATGTGAGTCTTTAATTCCGATTCCACATTGGAGTCTGTATCTCAGATCATCTACATGTACCTCATGACATTGCCTTAAGATAGACAATTGCCTAGAGCCATGCCCTAAATGCATACATTTTGTAAGATGTGTGATCTTTTTTTTGCAGAGAACTAAGGAGGAATCAAGGCTTCTTTGCAAAAGATTCTAAAAGATTTTCCTCTTTGCAAGGATGAATTTCAAAGTAATACATCAAATAGATTAAAGCAAGCATATTTTCAAAGAATTAGATAAAAGTTTGTGTATTATCTGTGGAATGAACTAAAAATATACATGAAAATGCAACAAGCTGATTGTGTTAAGGAGTGAAGGAAGCAAAAATTAATATCTTTAAAGATCAAGCTCGCTTTTGAAAATGAAAGGAAGCTAGTTCTTTGTGTATTATGCAGGCAATGGACTAAATACATAACGGAAGTGCTGCATTTCCATTTTCTTTGATAGTGAATGCTTTGTTGGTAATTAGATGTTTTTCAGCAACCTACTTTCTAAATATTGATTAAGTAAGTGTTTGATATTCTGGATATCATATTAAGTTAATGAAATATACAGTTAAGCTGCACCAAAAATTCAGAGAGCGGATGTATAGCTGATGCACACTGTTATTCTGAAAAAAAAAGGATATTTTTCATATGCTTAATACACATGCATTAACAATAGCTACCCGGTATTTAACCACCGTAAAAGCTACGTGCATGTTGCCAAGGTACCGGTAATAACAGATAAAAAAGCAATTAGCAAGTGTAAATTACCTCACAAATGTGAACACTCAAAACATGTGAACTCAAAATATGTGAACTCTCAAAACACTACATTCAAACTAACAGTTTTTAAAGGCAAATGCACCCATTTAATAGGGAAGAAAAAATGATATTTGCTCATGAAACAAATCCGTCAACCAAAATCATCATATAGGCAAATCCTCTGGGACAATCCAGACATTAGTTCATTAGGTTTCCTTGTTTAATCACCCCATAAATTCTTGCTGCCCAGCACATAATTACAGCTGATGTCATCTGGCAATTGTGATAATGTTTTCCCTTGGACAATGGTACAAGCCTTTTGGACCAAATTACGAGGATGTGGATGGGGGTTACAAAATATCCCATAGAGGCAACATGTACATTCTACACTAGTAAGAGAAAACAAACAAAAAAATCCATTGAAAACAATTTGTTTCAGCGCAGGGATCAAAAAGCCTCCAATTTTTCGCATGCAAATTTCTTGACCATTTTCGTCTCCATATTTTGAGCCCTTCTCCAATCCATACTGATAATCTATGACATATTTACTAGTTTTGAGGTCAGATTACCACATGATAAAATCAATGGTGGCATTTCTCGGTCACCTACATTGTACATCACTCCATTACCGTGATTGACAGTTCTAGTCGAAGTAAGATGTAATTTGCTTCAACGACCACTTACCTTCCCGAGCTCCTGTATGGCTGTAGCCTCAGAGACCGATTGTCGCCACAGTACCACTAACAGCAACTAATGTAGTGTAGGATACCCCTGCTCCTCTTGAATAAATTATGTTAATGTCATCAGGGCTGCTATGAAGTGTACCGGTATTACCATCCCTCTGTATAGCGTTGTCACGACCTACAGTAATTAATCATGTCTCGTACGTCATCCCTTGCTCTGATGGTCTGACAATACATCTTTGCATTGCTGACCTCAGACTTTAAATTTAATTATCATTCCAATAATCATATAACGTTACTATAATAAAAAAACACACACATTTACGCAGTTCTTTTGTTTTGAACCATGCAGCACAGTAAGATCTTTTCTCTGAACATGTTGCTACAGTTGCTTAGCTGGTAAAGGTGAAGGTGGTCCTGTAGTGCCTTTGAGGCCGCTACTAAAAGGAAAATCATGTGAAGTCACCTTTCTCAAGGACACAGGACCAGGAATGCAAGAACTCAAACCTTTCAATCTCATGTCTGCTCCTGATGTCTAGTAATAGCCATTAATATTCAACACCACACGTGATGCTCAACCTGTTTCCCTTCTAAATACTAATGCCCCTTGAGATGACCACCTGTTAACTGTAATAATATTCCTTCCATTCTTTCTTCCAACACTACATGTATAACGTTATATTGGTAAGCTCCTTCTGTCCTTTCGACTACAGTGTATTTCCCTATATATGCCCACCGTCCTTGGTTTCAGCTACATGTTGTACATCAATCCTCACAGCAGGCCATTACTGTTAACTGGGACTCAGACAATCAACATCGCTTCGCAACCCTCAAAGTTACTGCAGAGCTAACAGAAAGCTAAAGCCTCTGAATACGTGTGTATGTTACATGCTACTAAATATATTGTCCTTCTATTCATGGATGAAGAGAAAGACCTTTAAAGAGAGAAGAAAGACATCCAGGCAGCACATGGTACATACAAAATGGCAAACAAGATTGTACACGTGACAGTCGGCGACTAAAAAGAAAAAAAGAACAACAAAGAGTCACGACTACAAGCATGAATTTTATCAAACGCCGCCTTTGAAATTTGTTTCCCTCCACCACATAGTACTTAGAACCTGTTGTTATCAAATACAATTATACTAGGGCCTCCTCATTAAATTATCTCGAGATGGCAGTTATAAAAATAGCTTAGACTGGCAAGTTGTATTGGTGTGTGATACAGAAAACTACTGACATACATGCAAGCAAAGATGGTTGTTGTGCAAAATGGAAGTTATGATACATCCAACGTTATATGTACACACCCACACACCCCCATAGCTACCAAATTGAGAATTCAGATATAGACCAATCTTCATGTACCAAAATGCCATTTCAGGGCAGCAAAACAAAAAATATTCTGGAGGACAATGTCTGTCTGATATTGACATTTAAATTTCTTTGCACATTTTCATAAGCATTTAAATAGATGAAAAACAAGCTATGTCAGGAGTTCCTTTATTTTGGGGTGCCACCAATAACCAGTCTGTGGTACCAAACAAGCAACCATTTTCCGTCAGCACTTACATTGCATTTTTGCCTCACAGTTATCAGTATGCTATAGGAAAGGGTTGATTCTTACTGAATTAAAAAATGACTTTGAAAATCCAGTGTTGCCAGCCTGAAATTGCTTTCGGTGCCTTTAAGATATACATAATAAAATGATACAATTTACCTTTGAGTTTCGATTGCAGGAATTTTTCTTCAGTACTACATTGTAAGGACATACAGAAGGTGTTTGAATTACTAGTAATAGCTTTTCCTTGTAGAGATAATGCAAAAATACCTTGGGCGTTGAACAAGACAATTAGTATCGCAAGCATCATATTTATTTTAATAATTTATAAATGTACAAACTTGGCTATGCTATCACAAAAGTATATTTTGGACACCTGTGCAATTATATCATACTTCTTTGTGAAAATATGACCTGAAATTTAGCAAGGGGGTAGACTGAAAATATGCTTTTATCATTCTTTTAATACTTTTTATGCATCCTTGGACCAATTTTAATATTTTTTTACAGTAATTCTTCTCTTAGGTTCATCTCCCAATACCTTAAGGCCTATCGTTTTTAGCCACTACACACAATGCTCCCTGCGCAACGATTACTATTTTGGGCGCAGTTACTGAATGTAATATGATTGGCAAGAACTGATGGATCTTGGTGGCCTACTTCAATCTCAGAAAAACCTTTTTAGTCCATTAGAATCACAGGTCAACATCTGTCACTTGCTCAGTTCTAGGGACAGATTTTAATAACTTCATTATAAATCATACCAAAATTACATTCAAGTATGGTTATTACTGGTTGGATAACAATTTTAGGATAAATAGTGTGCATTTAGATAAGCAAAGACTGGAACAGTCGCTGGATTCACGTTTGAAATGGAGAAAAATTTTATATTCGGAAAACCCTTGCACACCCTCGCGCAGACTAATTTCGGTCCGTGTATTTCCACGTACCTTTATACGAGGAATTTTCAGGAAATTTCCATCTTCTCATTCCTCTCTCCGCACGCCACCGTGGTTTCGCCTTCTCCACGCGCCCATTCTGTACAACCTACGAGCTGGAGGAGTCTAAGAAATGGCGGTTTTGATGAAGAAACCAGGAAAATGCACATTTAGCGCTCCGCCATCTTGTCGTCCTCTCTGTGTCCCCGGAAGTGAAAATCATGATGATTTATGTTTCGCTCCATGCGTCGTCTGCAACACACTGATACACTATCTTTTGGAATGCCCATTGCGATTCTTCTGCAAATATTTTGCAAATACAATATTTATTAACAGTATTATTGTTGTCGTTTATGTTCATATTTTTGGATGAAGGGGATTTATTAGAAACTAATTTATTTTTGCAATGAATTGGTTTGAAACGGTGAAATTTAATCGAAAAATTGAAATACCATCACATGACTTGCATATACGGTGTTTGCAAATACTGGCAAGATATTGAACCGTCGGTTAATATTTGCGGTAGCCGAAAGGTATGAATTGATTATGGTGGAAAGATATTCAACGCTGCAGGGGTTTTCAATAGCGCCGCAGGTTACAGCAATGCGCTGAAACACGATACTTTGATGGATGTGTCTGCCATACTTTTTCCTGTTACGGTGACAGCTCTGATGATGCCCAAATGCTTTAAATGGGACCCTGTCTGAAATGTCTGTTTAGGAATTAAACCTTTTTTAGTGAACGACTTAACACTACTAAGGTTCTTGAACTGTAAAAGTCCTAGATGTCATTAGGCTCCAAGCAGAGGTTTGGGGTTTGGCTTAGTTTTTGCGCGTTTAGGCTTTTTTATCGGGCTTTCTTTTTTGCACTGTAATTTCTTGGTGTAAAAAAAAATGTTGACGCAAAAAAATTCCAGTGCAAAAAAAGAAAGCCTAGCCTGGGTGCCATCCGAGTTGTAACGGGTTGCCGTTACAAATCGGATGGAACCCAGGCCAAAGAAAGCCTGATAAAAACTTAAACCTCTGCTTGGAGAGTAGATATCATACCATTTGTGACAAAAGAATTTTATTTCTTCATTCATTAAGCTTCACCATAACAATGGAGGGTCTTACGGAACAGGTGTTACCGCCTTTTCATAGCCCTCTTATGAACAAGAACATAAATATTACAACAAATAATCGATATACACATTGGAACAACAGATCTAGTATAAAATCCACATAAAAGTGGGGTAAAATGAAACAGCAGAAAAAGTAGTTAGATAAAATAATACAATAGTCATACAGTGTCGGATCTCTGCAATGCCGGTGTGTTCCGCTAGAGGGCGATTATAGAAAGTTTATTGCAAATTCATGCCCGAAGGCTAATTGCATGAACAGAAGAAACATTTGTATAAAAACAGATAATTAATACACATAGAACTACTGATAACTATTAAGAAACTACTAGTAGAAAACTACTGGGTTTTACTTCTTTTTTGAAGACAGAGGAAGACAAAGGATCCCACTTTTTCTATAATTTGTGGGTTTTCGGATGTTAAGACGAGAGTAGTTTTCTTTTCATTTGTATATGCGTGAAAGTTTGGGTAGAATTTGGAGACGAAGTCAAAGAGTTCATTTCGTTCATTGCTATAGAGGGTACAATTTGAGATAAAATGCGTTTCGTCTTCCACCGTATTCAACGTACAATGTTTGCAAATTCGTTCATACACTTGGAGCTTCTTATAACGCCCTCTCTCAATTTCGAGAGGGTGTGCGCTAATTCGTAATTTACTTATTGCAGAGCGAGTGTTAAAATCGATTAAATCCAGGTATTTTTCCATGGAATATGCTGTTTTACATTTTTTGTAGAACCTTAGCTTACCAGAATCAACATTTAACTTGTGGGAAATAGTTTGTACATACATATCAGAAATCCTTAACCTTAACATGGTGCATATAGATTTGATATCACAAGAAGTGTTACATGAATGGATCCATGGAATAAGTAAGAATAGCCACTAGAATCTTATATTTGTTTCACACGCTGTAGTAAGGTTTTTCTCTGACAATGTGCATTTTGTTGAAACAGAAGAGCATCAGCTTGCAGTGGGTGCCTATTACAATCCATTTGTACAAGTCGGAGCCAATATTTTATAACAAGCAGTGAAATATCTGTATCTAGTGGCAGTCTGCCCAGTTCAGCCCTAGATGCTAGATTACTGCTATATATATGTACACTCCTCCAGGTGAGCGGACGTTCCTCCGGTTTTGAGCGTACATTCCTCCGAAATCGGCACACTTCTCACGGCGGCGGTTTGAGCGTACACTCCTCCAGGTGAGCGGACGTTCCTCCGGTTTTGAGCGTACATTCCTCCGAAATCGGCACACTTCAGTCGGCGGTTTGAGCGTACAGTCCTCCAGGTGAGCGGACGTTCCTCCGGTTTTGAGCGTACATTCCTCCGAAATCGGCGCACTTCTCAGGCGGCAGTTTGAGCGTACAGTCCTCCAGGTGAGCGGACGTTCCTCCGGTTTTGAGCGTACATTCCTCCGAAATCGGCGCACTTCTCAGGCGGCGGTTTCAGCGTACACTCCTCCAGGTGAGCGGACGTTCCTCCGGTTTTGAGCGTACATTCCTCCGAAATCGGCACACTTCAAGTCGGCGGTTTGAGCGTACAGTCCTCCAGGTGAGCGGACGTTCCTCCGGTTTTAAGCGTACATTCCTCCGAAATCGGCGCACTTCAGGCGGCGGTTTGAGCGTACAGGTGAGCGGACGTTTCTCCGGTTTTGAGCGTACATTCCTCCGAAATCGGCGCACTTCAGGCGGCGGTTTGAGCGTACAGTCCTCCAGGTGAGCGGACGTTCCTCCGGTTTTGAGCGTACATTCCTCCGAAATCGGCGCACTTCAGGCGGCGGTTTGAGCGTACACTCCTCCAGGTGAGCGGACGTTCCTCCGGTTTTGAGCGTACATTCCTCCGAAATCGGCACACTTCAGTCGGCGGTTTGAGCGTACACTCCTCCAGGTGAGCGGACGTTCCTCCGGTTTTGAGCGTACATTCCTCCGAAATCGGCGCACTTCTCAGGCGGCAGTTTGAGCGTACAGTCCTCCAGGTGAGCGGACGTTCCTCCGGTTTTGAGCGTACATTCCTCCGAAATCGGCACACTTCTCACGGCGGCGGTTTGAGCGTACACTCCTCCAGGTGAGCGGACGTTCCTCCGGTTTTGAGCGTACATTCCTCCGAAATCGGCACACTTCAGTCGGCAGTTTGAGCGTACAGTCCTCCAGGTGAGCGGACGTTCCTCCGGTTTTGAGCGTACATTCCTCCGAAATCGGCACACTTCAGTCGGCGGTTTGAGCGTATTCTAAAGACCCCTAGTATATTCTTACAGTAACGCAGGTGAGTAGTTTCAACTGGTGAATTGTCATTTATAGCTTCTGTGCCCCAAATTTCGCATCCGTACAGGAGAATCGGCTTAATACATGTATCGAATATTCTCAGTAGACACTTTGGGGAGACAGAGGAACGAGCGAGAGATTTTAAGCTGTACATGGCTTTACGTGCCTTAAGCGACAGTTGTTTTTAGCTAGGGAAAAGCTGCCTGATGACGTTATAGTTAGACCGAGGTAACAGTAGGAGGGGACTATGTCTAGCGTGTCTTTTCCATAAGAGAATATTTGTTTAGAAAGTGTCCGGCCGGATTTGTTAAATATCATAACTTTTGTTTTCTTTAGGTTGACTTGCAGTCTCCACCTGTTACAAAAGTCTTCTAACTTATTGAGGGCGCATTGTAATCCTTTGTCAGATTCTGAAAATATAACAATATCATCTGCGTACAATAGACATGAGACGAATAGATTTTGTAGTTTTATATACCGGCTATATAATACATATATAATATGCAATACTATACAGATTGCTCTATACGCTTCTGGAAAAAAAACTCGAGGTAGCCTTAAGTTTGCCATGCTATTGTAATCTACAAAATAATATCCATATATTAACGTTACATAAGGCATATTCATAACGGGCGTAGCCTTTATGATAACTGATGATATTATGAACTTGATACACGTAAGTGTGTTTGAATCACACAAACACAAAATATGTAGTGGAAATATTCTTGATTGATACACAGCACTAACGACTATGTTACCGCTTAGCATTGGCATGTTTTTGCATATGTCGTATTGCAATTTTCTGTCGCAATTTGGTCTCGAATCGGCGTCTCTCCCTCCTCTGTCGTTGCCGTAGTCTTGCCTCATCCACATCATGTTGGTCCATCAGTATCTGGGCATTCTTGAAAATGGTCCCCTTTTCATAACCGGATTTCACATCTGTTTTCATCCTCCTTTCATCCAGTTTTTTCTTCAACATCGCTTCGGCTCGTCGCCTGCTCTCTTTCTGTGCTTCCTCAAATTTTAGCTGATCGTCTGCATGAGCTTGGAGAAGTCTTTGGACCTGCTCCTGGATACCGTATGAGGTTGAACTTAGCAGTGAAGTAGATTCTTCGAATGTTCCTTGTAATAATTTCGCCGAGAGACGTGGCTGGGTGACATCTAGGCTAGGGGAAGGACTTTCATTTGTGTTGTGAGCCCAGAAGCAGTTTGTAATGTCAGAGATTTCATTCAAAGTTTCCTCTATCACTCGGAAGTTGGTATTCAGCTCAGCACGTTTTACCTCATCTATAAGAAAGGGGCAGATGATGAGTTAAAAATATTCTAGCAAAGCCATGTCTGAAGGCTAAATGCAGGTTGATAGAACAAGTACACGTATAACAAAGTTCTACTTCTACTATGGAAACTTCTACTATGAAGACTATTTCCTGAGAGGGGTAAAGGAGGCTATTTACATCAGGACCCACAACCCTTCACTTAACCGCGACGGGGGCCGACATCGTCTACCAGATACCTTTGACCCAGTGTTGGCGTCACACTTCAAAGAAGCCACGTGACAAGCCTCACTGGGTCAGTCTACTGAGGAAGACTACAGTGACTGGTCGAAAGCTCTAGGTGAGAGAATTTTTTGTGTTGGACCAAAAGTTTAAACAGAGGGTTGGTTGATTGATTGATTTATTGAAAATACAAGATCCTTTGAACTTAACAGCTTGTTGTACAACTCATGTGATATAGGAATGAATGATCATGGTTTGTTGGGAACGATTCGTGTGAAATGTTTTCTGATTTAATCAGTACATTTACCTGTTTGTACATCCGTCTCTGGTGGCGAGTGGACCCCAAACATTTCCTTGAAGGTTTTCCATACGTAATCTACAAGTTCCTGGTCATAGTCATCGTCAATGGATGCTCGGGAGGCAATAGCATCACAGATGATGGTTACCAGGAAGTTGATGAGGATTATGAAGATTAATATCATGAACAAAGAGAAGAAAATCGGGCCGACAACTGGGTTTGCCTCCAAGATTTCATCAGCAAAGAACCTGAAAAAATATTGCAATCAAGTCTAAACTAAAACATTGATGACAAAAATTTGTATCCATCGGTGGATTACTAAAAGTTTCACAATACAAATTCAACAAAATGGCATTTTTATTTCAAAGCAAATTAAATGTTTCTACTGCATTTACATGTAAGTTCTACCATACACACATGAAGAACAAATACACTTGTTTTTTTTTCACAATATAACAATGAGTCTGTTTTAAAGATGAAATAGATAAAACGTGGGTACATACCTGCCCAACAACATCTCAAATAAGGCCAGCATGGTGTCCAAAACGTTGCTATAGGCCAACAAATGTGTTCCAAACAACACAAGTCCTGAATTGAAGAGAGGGAAAGCAATTATCACCAAATGTCAAAAACCTTTTTTTTTCCGACAGCATAGATGAAAACAATAAGAAAACTACATACACACAACGTTTATGTATACATGCATTTGATACGTCATATGAAAACCTATTTCAGCGTATCCTACTTATCAAGAATGATCAAGAAGTGTGTATAATTTAATTTTTTTTGTATTGTCTTCGCTGCTGCAAATATTGCATGAAAATTCCTTAGATACACAGAAATATATAGAAATGCAGAAATACTTTTGTATCCCTCTTATTATCCCAACAAAACAAAGAATAGATTTTACAGAGGTAAGATTTTACCGGAGCAGGTGAAGGCCATGAAGGCTATGGCGCCTGTAACTGTGAAGCTCATCAGGTCGTTCTTCATGGCCCCCGGCAAGGCGAGGAAACTGGCGATGGTCTTGCTGAAGCGGACGACTCGGAGTAGCGTCAGTGTAGTGATGAAGACCACAACGGCCAACAGGTGCTTGAACACATCATCCCACCAGAAAGTGGGGCTAAAATCTACAAACTGTTCTATTCCAAGTTCACCTGCAAGATACAGATTGATAAATGAAACTTGATTATGTTAATCAAGTGCTATTGGCCACCGATTGGTCATGTAAATGCGGAAGCTATCCTTAATGTAAATTTCTAGAAAGGCCGACATTTGCTCAAGAGCAAATACAGCACATTTCACCCATTCTTCCTCCCTATTCCAAATTTCCCCAAGGAAGGCAAACATTTGCTCAGGAGTAAATGCAGCATGGCTTCACCACATCCCCAGTACCAAAAATGGACCTATCCCGCCCCCTCCCGCACAAATGCATTTGTTCTCAAATCACCACTGTTCAAAATGTAGACTGTTCCAACAGTTCCAACAGTTAAATACCCCCATGGAGCAATGTAATCTCCCAACACCTGCTGTTGGAACACGTAGAACCCTGGTGGAATGTAAGAATTAAAAGCGTAAGAATTAAAGAAAAAAAACGTATTCCCCCTCCATGCCTCACGACCTATAAATACCATCTTATTTACTCCGTTCATTTAATGCTAAAGACTATAATATTCTGCAACCTACCTGTAGCTTCGACTATTTTCCTCAGTGCTGCAGATGCAAAGTGGTACCTAATTCCAAAAGTACAGATGACAGCTGCACATCCCACGACGCTCAGAAAAGCAAACACATTCCAAAGAGAACGGAAATGTTTTCTTCCTTCTCTCTTTATGGTTACCACCTCGTTGGTAGAATGGACCAGAAACAAAATCACGAAGCCGACATGAACAAGCATCATGCCGTAGTCAGAAGTATTTTCATACTGAAACAGCCTGTGTGTTTCAACAGTTGCTGATGTAGAAAGATGACCGATATCTTCCTGACGTACAGTCATTTTTATACTGCTGAATACCTTCAGCGATGGGTAGTAAAATGATAGGTGAAGTATCAGATACTGTGTGTATTTGTCAATCCACTGGTTCTGTTGGAGCTTGGAGAAAACCAATGTTGCCACAGATGGAGTGATGGGAAGCTCCATAGTAAACTTTAAGGCACAACCTGGGTTGTCTGACACTATGTCGCTGACATTGAATTGCCAACATGCAGATGCAGCATTTCCAGTTGCAATCACCCAACCTTTTTGACCGTGGTCTGTTTCTTCTGAAGACAAATATAACGCTTGATGAGAAATCTTAATTTATTGTTATGATTTGAATCATTATGATTATTTTCATGATCAACGATTTGTTACAATACAAAATACAATTATGATTAGTGATTTGTTATGATTTGAATTATTGTATAAGGGATGGTTCATTGCATTGTATGTATGTTGTTTTGATATATGAATAAAAAACATAATGCTTGATTAGAAATCTTAACGTTGTACACTTTCAGTCGAAGTATTATAAGAGTTCTCATACATTGGTTGTCAAGAAGAGTAATTCCATTGTCTCTTGGTGTACGTTGTCTTTAAATACATATATCTGTCAAACTGAAAACCCATAAACAATAGGACACAGAATATCCAAAACAAAAGGACAGCCTAGAAGAATTCAGAAGGAACTGCTTTGCAAGACACAGTGAGCTAGAATGAGTCGAGGGGGCCCATGGTTCCTTTTAGCATCCTGAAACGATGAAGATGATGTTGTGTGGATTGACAATGGTAGAACAGAGGGATATTTTAGACCGTATTCTCACCTGGTGCCTCCCTGACTTGAGTGAGGAGTGGCGGACCGATTCTGAACGCTTCAGTATAAAGTGGAAACTGCCGGTCCAGGTACTTCATCTTCCACCCATTGTACCAGAACGACGGGTACAAAACAGGCAGGAGGATGTCCTCAGTCCATGTCCAGAACTCATCAGCAGTGGTGATCTGTGGAAAATAAGGATAGAGAATGTTGCATCTATTGTTTCAATGATGGCAGTGAACAAATGACCGTATCAGTGCCAGTTAACAAATAACTGTTGTATGAATGATTAAAAAAAATAACTATGTATCTAGCTGTCAAACATCGACGAAAAAAGGAATCCTAACTACATACTCAAAGAAAACAGGAAGGCAACTTACAGGGATTGAAACATGTAGGGATATTCAGTCTATTTGTATACAAGCTTTTCCAGTGCGTTTCATAGTCCATCAAACATTTTGTGTTACGGATGTAAAAATCTTGTGCATGTTTCACATGTTCCACAGATGAGAAGCATAATAATGAACACGACCATGTAAATGCATACCTCATTGAAATCTTCCATGAGCGTGTTCGACAACGTCTGCGATGCGTGGAAAGCAAACGGCTCTTTGTCGTTGTGGCTGATGTAAAACAGGACCACAACAAACAGAAGCAGGAGGCAAAAGTCCCTCAGAACGTGATAAAACTGACGTCGTTGTTTTCTCTTATTTTGCATACTTTGTACAGAAGCAGCTTCAGGTGGGTACACCTTCTGTGGGGCTAAAACAAACAGACATAATAATGTCAAAGTTTGTCACCTACATATATTCGCAGAGAAAGTTCATGCATATTCCCATTCCATAATTAACACATAGTGTGCCAAGTGGACAAACTGTAACCTTAACTGATAAGTAGAGAAGACAAAAAAGTATATTCGCTGGGTTAAGAACACTGTATGAATCATAACTGGCTGCAGTTCGGAGAACTTGCCAGTATTTTTTTTTTCATTTATTTATTGCTCATCATTTTACAAATGTACAACAGCAGGGGGAGCAGAAGCGCATCCCCCTGAATTAGGTACAATTTGTCACATTATTTGAAAAACAGCGTTCACATTGAAAAATAATACATCTAAACTAACATATATACAAAAGACACATATAAAAATTATTTACAACATATATGCACTGAAGGTAACAGGTGGTAATTACTGAAATGTTAGCTAGGTTTCTCTTTGAACATGTACAATTGTCAACCAGTGATTCCATCGATAACCAGTGATTCCATCGACATCAACGGTTGTAACCTTATCCTTATCTGTTTATACAGAATCGCGTCAGAATACCCGGTAGAAATACCTTTATGGTCCCAAAGCCGTGCTTGCAGTTCTCCCTTGTTGATATCGTACGTTTTCTGTTTCTCAGTCGACTTGGTGCACATCAAAGAAGCGAGGATCGCAATCACCAAAATCTGTCGGTATACATAAACAACAGGTCCTTTTTGTTGCCCGTTTTAAAACACCATTTACCAGAGTGTCTGTTGTCCACTAAAATTGTTATCTATATCAAATGAATGCAGAATTTACCTGGCCAGTCTCTGTGACTAGACTTGACAATCCGAATGAAAAGAAGAAGGCCTTCAGCCAGGCTTCACTCTTCTCCATACCCCAGTCCAGACTGTACAGGATGACAAAGAACGACGAAGCGATGGACACCATCACCACCAGTAACCACGCCACGTACTTCGACCAACGGGACAGTCGATCTCCAAACAACCCTGAAGGTAGAAAACAAAGAACAAGTGATACACAATCCCTTATAAAGATATACACACGGCAGAAGCACACCCATCAAATAACGTGCAGAGCACTGATGTTACCAGTTTAATCGTTTCCTTTATGTAGTAAGATCTTTGGCGTTCACTTGTGACCACCAGTTTATTAACACTCGTTTTTAACTATATTAGAACTGATTCCATGGATTTAGCTGTGATAAAGAACAAACGTACCATGTTTTGGACGACGTTGTATGCCTAGATTCGTGACGGGCGCTGGAAGCTCAACCCGGAACAGTTTCACCGGTACCAAGGCGACAGGTACCACCATCAGAGCAGCCATAACACTAACGTACAGCTCCTTAGTACATGTGGAAAATACGTTAGACGTCGTTAATAAAAATAGATTATTGGATAGGAAAACCGTAATTGAATGAAGGATTGTTTTCCAAATGGGTATAATATTAAACTTTTCAAGTAAAGGCCAACAAAATCTGTCCTCACTGTCTAGTGCAGTAACTCCAAACAGTTGAGTGGCTCTCATGAGCCTTGTTTTTTTGGTGAATATGACAGGTCTAAAAAGGTCTAACATCCAGAAACAGCAACAAAAGAACAATGCCAGATGCATATCATTTAAACTTGAATTATGAGGTCTTACTTGTAGTGTGAATTGTACAAATCCCAGATCATACACAGTGCTTTTGATGATCACCCCGCTGCCACTGCTGTACCACATGGCGCTGGCCAGCATGATGCTGTTAAAAACAGCCCAGCAGCAGGACAGACGTTCTGCCTTGGAAAAACTTGACCCTGCAAAGAGGTTTGAACAAATCTCACTAAATCATAAGTTTTATTGCAATACCCTGTCATTTACTTTATTTGTACCTAACAATATAAGGACCCATAAATTGAACATTGAACTTTATTATATATACTGGAAATATAAAAGAAATAACATATTTTGCTGCAAAATAAGAATAGAATTCTCCATTTCTTTTATAGAGGTTTTTCATGGACGTCATAATAATTATCATATGAATCTCGGCGTATGAATTAATTAAGCAGCAGCGTGTTGGCATGTTTAACAAACTGTCACAGTAATCCAACATGGCGGATGTGAAAAGCCTCTATCAGAAATACCTTCAGGTGACATAATAGGGGATATCCACAAGTGTTGATCGTAGAACATGGCGTCTGTGTTCTCTTGTAACAGGTTACTGAAACACTGCAGTTGTTCTTGGGTCGCAACTGGCAGGACCTTTTGTACTTGTCCGTCACTTCTGCCGTCAGACAACCAGTCATAACAGATGAAATGATAGCTGTAAAGGGCAGGAAGGAGTATCAATGGGTGAGAAAGAAAGTGCCATACTTGGTCTTAAACGGCTTTAGAAATACAAGCAAAATTTAGCAAGTACAGACTGAGTGATGTAAAAGAGTGGATGCCAAATATAACTGGTTTCTACACTCACTGAGAGGAATCAGGCCATGGCCAGTTATCCCTTGCACATGTATTTTCTTCATATTTTCTGAATTGTTGTAAATAGGTTATAAGTAAAGGTCGTTAAATCATACATATAGCAACATAAGACATTGTCTGTTTCTTACATTTCGTGTGTTTGTAAATCCTTCACAATGATGTCCTTCAGAAACCACGAAGCTTCATCCACACCGGTGTTGTCGTGCCAGATGTGCAGCAGCTCCAGATGCCCTAGTGACGTCTTCTGGGGCATGATGAGGTCATAAATACCACCTCGTAGCAAGGACTAAAAAGACATGAAAGAGACACGTACAAGATTCTCAATACACTGTCTCCTGTATGGAAGAATGGGTAGTCATCAACTGCAAGTCTTGAGAATTTTGTACATGCTACGTTCAAGATTCTCAAGACGTTGTCACATGTATTGAAGAATGGGTAGTAATAAGAACAGACATCTTCCTTCAGATGGACTACAACCCTGATGACTAAACGCAATGTAACGCGGCAATAACATAGTCATAGAATTTGATAGTAGATGTGCATTCCATACTGATGACGAAGGCATGCATACCTATCGTATACAGATGCTGTAGTACAAAAGGGCATAGATGCTCAGTACCTATAATAACCTTGGGTACAACGTACGGTAAACATGAAGAATCCTGATCAAGTTAAAAGAAAAGAGCTTTAAGCTTACTTCTCCTCTGGGATTGACCACTTTGACTGCAGTTTTGCTGTTGGATCCAAATATTTTGAACCCTATTCTTGCTGACGTTCCAGCACCAAAATTGGAGCCAGTGGTGACGGTGACCTGGTACAGATATGGGGCCGGCATCCTGTCCGGGGGGAGGACGGACAGCAGTGGTAACTGCTTTCTTCTGTTGAGAGTTGCTCCACCCATCTTTTCCTGGCAAAAGAGTGCACGAAAAGCATGAGGGGCAGTTATAAATGTTTTTCAGCGATAAGAATGTGTAAGAAGATTTTGAGTGTATCTGTATCGTTATAACCGGTATAACCGCCCTTCGGCGTAACACACCAGCTTCGCAGGCACGCGGCGCGGCGGCAGCTAGCTATATCACACCCAACGACTTGTTACATTCAATCTTTGCACATTTGATTGCAGGAGTTGTTTGCACATTTGATTGCAGGAGTTGATTGCGTGTGTACTCACGCTAAGACGCTGAAAGTCGACATTGAAGATAATGATCAACAGAAGATAGAGAGCCCACTCGCTGATGACAATGTAGAAAACGATATTGCTTTTGCTAAGGCTCTCGGGGTCCCCAAAGACGTTGTCGAATTCAATAGTATTAGGAAGAAGGTGTACGGAGCCGGCAATGGCACCCCTCGGCCTGGGGAAGCTGCAGTTACATCTGATGACGCTTTCAGATAGATCCACTTGGACCTGACGACACGACAAAGAAACACATTGTACATTTGATAAACATTTTAGTCGAAATTGTAGAGTTTCATCTTTCACAGGCAATTACAAAACTATTGCTAGCTTGATATTGCCGGTTTAATTTCGTCTGCTTGTATAAATAAAAAAACAATAACACAATTTGTGACTATCGTAAACACATACGAGTCAACACAATTCCACATATATTTTACTTTGATACCCTGTTAAGATTGACATACCCCACAAGCTGTGTCTTGCCACTTCTCCGATGTGTAACCCCAGTTGACACAACTCACTGTTGATGCCTGAAGTAGGTAGTCTTCAGGCAAAGGTGCAGATTGCAAAAGCGTGCGCGGATCTGCAGGTATATATTATATCCATATCAGAGAATAATAAGAGAACCCTAACTGTGTGTAAATTCACCGAGACCGCCTGCTAGTGGTCACGTTTCATAATGATTCGCTTCTCAACAATTGGTTTTATATGAACAACTGTAGCTATTTGGGAATGTAATCCACAGTTGTGGTTACATGCATGTATAGATTAAGTAAGAACAGTTTATATTAAAATTCATGTGAATTTTCATGTAATCATAACATCTTATAACGGTTTACCTGATTTCTGTATCCCAACATAAAGTCTCCCCTGTCGTCTCTGGATGTTTGGAGTAAATGTTCGCAGGCTGTCCGTGCCTCGATGCCAAGCCAGAACAACATCTTCCTCCTGAACTATCATCATGTTGTCATACAGCTCCTCTGTAGGAGGCGTGTCGTACCGGAAGAACACACGGAATGCAGCGGCGTGATCCCACCACGACAACTGCATCACCATCAGGATGGTTGAAGAGTGAACGTCAAAGGCATGGTGAGTCATTGTCGCGTTGTTCTTGTGACCAGCCGCGGCATCATCCAAGTTTCTTCCCTGTCCATCAGATGCATTGCTCTGTGCGTACTGCGTCCCAACTAAACCTTGTTCCTCAAGATGACGTTTTTGACGTCTTGGCTGTTGGAGATCTGCGAAGTCCAGTGTTAGTGGCATGGTGACGCTGAGCTGCAGGGAGCAGTTCTGAGGTCCCAGGGAAACCATGTTCACTGACGTTGTGACGTTTTCTCCGTAGGTCGATGAATTCCAGGAAAGAAGATTCATTTCCATTACCACCATCTATTAGAAAAATACATTCAATTGTTGGTCGATCAGGCTTGAGAATCCTCTATCATTGTGAATGTGTAAGCAATACGGCGTCAATTGTTGAATGGTTATGTTAGTAAACACTGAATAGAAAGATCTACGGTTCCATCCCTGGCATTCCTACCGCATTGTCCTCGGAAAAGGCAACGCACACGACATTTTCACTATATCCACGTGGAAAAGGATACCTGAATTCAGTTCAGCGAGTAAATGGTGCACGTGGTGGAAAGAGAGAGGTGGTTTCTACCCTTCAACAATATGCCCAAGACTCGCGTTGATAAAAATCCCAGTGTTCCTACAGGACGTATACTTAGAGCTAGGTACAACTGTTCTATAATATTTTTCAATGCGTGAACAAGGATATATAGAAGCAGATATCCTCAGAGAATGATACACCTTATCAATAATATCTGTTACCCCACCAACCTTGACATCAGTTCTGCCATCTGACGAGCAGCCTGTTGTAGAAGCTGTTATGGTAACCTGGCCAGCTTGAAGTGTCACGTAATTACTACTGGTGGTCCTTGCAATCACTATGGCAACTTCATCGTTTTGACGTGTTGTAACGTATTCCTCCGTATGTGGTAAAATGTCCATAAGACTGTTTGCTGCTCGGTCGATGGAGTTCAGCAGAGAATATGCAGCAACACGAAGCTGTATGTTGAATACAAATTTGCAAAGAATGAAATGGTAGGTGGACGACAGATATTTACATAAGTGTGCCATCCACAGAAAGATAACTGCTATACATTGAAGCCCATTAGCATTTGCCGCTGGCAAATTAGATGACGTTGTCCTAATGGCACCCTCTTAATTCTAGGTAAAATATATGTGAATAGTTTCATCAGGTACTAGGTTGGTCATTCAATGGTTAGAAATTTTGAAAGTTCTTCATATAAATAGTTATACACAACAAAGGGATATTTGCCTTCACGCATTTCAGTCATAATTCTGCTACCTTCCCCTGACAATACTGACTGTTTCTACTCCCATTGCTAGATGGCACTTCAGAATCAGAACCGGCCATTACTGCTTTGAGGATGGTACTAGAAGGACTACCGCTAAATGATTGCAGGTAGACATATATAATAATTTTGTATTAAGTACTTTGTTAACCGGTCAGTCGATGCTAAAATTGATAAGGACATGAAGAAATTGCGAGATTAATGCCAACCTGAAGCTGAGATTTCAACTGTTGATCCTTAATGTTCTTCAGCTGTTGTTTTGGTGATACATTCACTGAGTGCACATCTATGACATCCATTTCAAACAGGTCTACGGAGTCATCAATGGTAATGTAGTTCTTGGTCGGTGTCATTTGTATCAGACTGGACACAGTACTTGCTATGACTGCAAAATTGAATCTTATTCAATGCAATGGCAATGGGTGAAACCCATGAATAAGTAAACGACAATTATACGCAAGATGAAATATGAATTTTCTCGATTAGACGTGGGGGATAACATGCTGCTATTCTTTTTTTGAGAATACTTATCATGTTACTTCTGCTACTCACCATCATTCATCTTCTCCATCGTTGTTATTGTAGCTCCTTGAGTGGCTCTTAGGAGTTTAGAAGACTTGCTCAACAAATCTATAGCTTCCCACTGTAAGGACAATGTACAAGTAGGTGATTTGTTGAGGTTTGAATGTACTGAACTTTTTGTTTGTTTTGACTCTCGAATGGGAATCAAACTCAATTTCGCAAGTGGGGCGAACATTTGGACTGTAGTAACAAATTTTTGTTTTGTATGTTTTTATAGAAAAATATGCATTTAATGGGATTTTTCAGGATTACGCTTTTATTGTAATCAAAAAGGCACTTAAGCAGCGTCCATCCGGACCCAAAGAAGATATCTTACCCAAATGACTAAAATATCAGATGATGACAGCGTTGACATCCCCGTTTGTAGTAAAGGAGGTATTTTTGCTATGATTCCGATGAGATTTCCAATTGGAGTCTCTTCGTTGGCGTATCTGTCCACTTGATCCTTCAAACGCAGTATCTAAACATAAGGAAATGAAACAAACCAAAATGCTTTTTATTTGCAATGCTGGTGAGAATTATTTATGGTATAAAAGAAGAAAAAATACGGTGTGCAAAATAGCTGTTTCTATAGGGTTAAATAAGTTCTTTCACTACCTCTTCAAGAGGACTGAACTGCAATTCAGTAGTCTGTTGTTGCCCTCCGTTGTTATATTGAACTGAAAAATAGCGATGCCATGATAAGCTTTTATCAATATATAATTACGAAATCAATAAAAAGATAATGGACTTTCCGAGACAACAAAGTGGTACGTCTAGTAGCAAACCTAACGTCCCAAACATGATGAAACGATGTGAATATTATGAAATATGTTAGATCATTTCAGAAAGACCATTCTTATTTTGTTATGCCCTTCACTAATGCTCACCTGGTGACGACGTAAATGAAGTTGGTGTCTTTGTTCTGGGCTTCAAATCTGTAAAATGATAGGATACTATTAGTTTATACACGAGTCCATAGTTTATATTCCTATACATTTAACATGTGACTACAGCTTCGTATTAGAATACTTTAAAGTCATAAAATGTAGGAATTCGAATGACCAACAATCAAAGAGAACGTCTAATTCCTGGCCCCTGGAGAGTACATAGCTAACAAGATGTAAATGAACAACACAGAAATGTATTTGCAAGTCTGACCAGTTGTTGTAATCGCTGTTGTCGTCTCCAGCAGCCGCAACTTAAATGGGCGTAATTCTGGCGTAGATTCTGGAAGCAAACACAAGCAGTTTACTAAGTGTGGTCTGGAACTGCCTTTAGATTATGTAACGATGAATATCGGATATGTTTTAGAGATAATAGAATTTTTCACCTTGTGTATGTGCAGCGGTAGCCCGATGTTCAAACCAGAACGCTGTTGCTTTGATGTCCAAATCCTCGTTGTCTATTGGTGCCATCGCAGTGACTTTGACGTTCAGATCAACATCATTGTCTATAACTAAAAGAGATGCAAACGGTATTATTTGGTGTAACAATCGTTTTGTAAAACGGTAAACCGTGCAGTGTACGTTCATAGCTTCCTTCGTAGTCGTATACAAGTACATTCTTGATGACAACTTCGGGAACATATACCTGTATTGTCAACGCTCAAAGCAACGGTGCTACAAAAGCTGACATCTTCCACACTACGTCCGTATAAGCTGACGGCTGCAATCCAGACGATGTACTCGGTCTTTGGGAAGAGCTCCGTTATGTTGAACTCCGTGAGGGTAGGTTGTATGCTGTATCAAGAGACAGGACGTTAAGTTGCGATTGTCGTTCCAAGCACAAAGCGTCCAAATTTACAATGGTCTCTGTACCTTTGTAATGATTGTGGACAATGGACAATTACAACCTTACATTATTGCCCTCCATATGGAGCACCTGTCATTCTTTTGTTTAAAACAGGTTTATTTATTTATTTATAATGGGTGGAGAACAGGCAAAGGCATGTAGCCTCCCTATATAGTATGTATACTATAATTCGTACATTCATAATACCTAAATTAGTGTATTGGGCGACGCAACCTGCAATCGTGAACTCTATTAATGCCGAGCACAAATTCACAACAACACATTTATTGAACTTGGATTATTCAACTCAAGCACCAATAGATTGCAAAGTTCCCGTGTTTCGTGATGTATTAAAAACATGCAGTTAGTTGCAATAGTATATAGAAGAAGGCAGTCTGCTCACCTAAAATGTATCTCATTTTGGTTTGTAGTGTCGATTACTCTGAGATCATATGAGACCACAGCTGCTACAGGTGGTGTCCACATCACGTGCATCCAGGTGGAGGAGACGTTCTTAACCGTCAACTCAGTCGGTGGGTCCGTAACTGAAATCCATGGGATAAGCGGTACATGTAATACTAGTACTGATCTACATATACAAATGACAATGAGAATTGTGCCTTACATAGAAGTTATATGGTATTTGTATTCCTCCATGTAAATATGTCTTACAGTCATACAAGATTGTTCTAACATTTTCCAGCACATTCCACTTTGACATTGATGATTATAAGTAGGTACTAGTTGCTTATTGTCTCTAGTCTCTGCTTACCTGTTATACCCGTTGAGGATACTGTTTCACTCCGCCCAAACCGGCTGACGGCAGTCAAGCCGACTGTGTATTGAGTGGCAGGGACAAGTCCTTGCAGCAAATATCTATTGCTGCTAAAAGGCAAAGTTAGAGAACTCGTGGATCGTCGTTTCCTGCGTTGTTCTACACTGCTGTACGTAAGTTCGTATTCCGTGAGCTTGGCAACTGGCGGTGTCCAGGACAGGACCAAGCTACCGGACCTGGTATCTTCAATCTTCAAATGCAGTGGAGCATCGGTATCTGCGGTTAAAATAAACAAACTTTTGCAAAATTGTGATCGAAGGCTAATTTCATGCACAATGTCAAAGAAAGTAAAGTAAAGCAATAGAGAATATATAACTATTGTCTGCGCAACTTTTATTACTGCTAAGAGTTTGTCTTCTTTGAGGGCAATGGATTATGAGTAGTCCCACATTCGATAATACATAAATCCCAAACATAATTGCTATATCAGAATCAATAAAACTATATATATATGTGTGTGTGTGTGTGTGTGTGTGTGTGTGTGTGTGTGTCTGCAACAATAGCTATAGCCTCAACAGAGAATATTTCATCCCATATGATTGTAGCAAAAAAATATTGAATAATTCAATGATAATTCAAGCGATTTTGACAATAAGAATTGTGTTAGCCGTACTTAAGGGATAGTCCCTCACCTGTGACAATTGTTAGGTTTGCCTGTGGTCCATCGATGTGTGAATTGACGCACGTCACTGCCACCACGTACTCTGTGGCGGGGATCAGAGAAGTGAAGGCAACAGAGACCGCTGATTCAGGCAGGTACTGTGTGGAAACTATGGCCGCAGTTTCCCTGTCCGTCAGCCACACTCTGTAGCCAACCACCAGTGCTCTAGCAGGCAGTAACCATTGCACAGTGACCGACTGCTGGCCAACACGACTGACACTGAAGTTTGTAGGAGGTGGTAGGGCTGTAGTTGTAACAAGGAAACATTTTTGTGGTTTGTCTAAATTGTAAACTTTTGATCTAAAAAAAACGCATGGTGATAATTAAATACAAGCCAAATTGATTATAATTTTCACCATTATTTGATAACATTATAGATATATCATTTTAATCCCCCCCCCCCCCAAAAAAGAATAAGTGTATGTTCCAGCATACGCTGACCAAGACAACATATACAGGTATGGCTAATCGCACTGCTTTTTCTTGCAACAAGAAGAATAAAGTATAATCATAAATCGTATATAATGCAACAACAGAGACATGTGCCTCAATCGGAGCTGACTATACAAAATAACACATACGTGGTAGAAATGATTTCAATTGCTGCAAAAATATTGAAATAAATGTAATAGTATAATCACCAGTTATGCACTCTACGCTGGCGTTAGCGCTGTCATTCCACAGTCCAAAGGCAAGAACAGTGAAGGAGTACTCCACTCCGCTGTACAAGCCGGATATCACCGCACTGGTGTCGGTACGGCTCCGGAAAGACTTCATCGGTGAGGGTTGGTAGAATCCTAGGAAGGAATTAGTGTTGTTGGTTATTTATCATAACAATCAACAAGATTTGATGAAAGTGTTCAGAGTACTCGTGAATCGAATGATGACGAAAACCATCACCAACGAAGAATCTTATAGCCTTTGCAACACAAACTATCACTGTTCATGGATCTCTTGGCCAGTAGGAGGGCTACTAGAAGCGTATGTACGTAATGTAGCTAAGCTAGAAAAGTGAAAAGTAGCAAAAGATACCAACCGGTTGTAGGTATGTATGTAATGCTGTAACAATTGATGTCAGCAACTGGCTTGATCCAAGTTAAAGATACCGAAGTTGTTGTAAATGAACACGATAAAAGTGAAACAGGGTCGAATCCTGTAGGCATAAGAATACGAGGGTCAACTATAATTTTCTGATATATATTTTATATCATTACTGGTGATTTTAGGTATCGGATTTTATCATTATTAAGTCTAATACGTGCACTTCTATTTTGGCTATTCAAAATGAAAATACGCCACATTTAACAACATCTGAGAAAAGCTATAAATATAGAAATAGTGTCAAATGCAAAACCAAATGATACAAATAACGCATCTTATTTCGACAAGAAATTGTTAAATACGGCGTCTACTTTTACTCTAAAACCGAAACAAGAATGCCTTACCGTCACAGGAAAACTGGTCCACATCTAAGCTATACCCAGTCGCGCAGTAGCAGTTGAAGCTACCAAGAGTGTTGTTACAGAACTGTCCACAGCCTCCGTTTGCTGTGTCACATTCGTCAACATCTGACAAGAACAGATGGACATTTTAATGTTATACAAATCATTCTTCTCAATGATATTAAAGATATTTGACATACTTTTTGTAAAAGGCGAATACTATGTAATGAATTATGCTTACCATCACAAGTCTGTCCATCCACATTTAGAATGTAGCCGGTACGACAGAAGCACTCAAAACTACCGATGCTGTTGTTGCAAATCTGGGCACAGCCGCCATTCGTGGTGTCACATTCATCTATGTCTGTTATTAAAGAAATGAATAGTCTTACACAATTGGTAATTGTAACGTCATTGTCAAAAGGTTAGTTACTATGGCGATAGTCGAAAACTTCACCATTTTGATTCCTCGCCGAACTACAGTTGTCCTTTTTCGTTTTCGAAAATCTATACGTTTTCAAAAACTGTACGTCCTTTCCTTCTTCATTTTCCTCCAGCCTTGGTGTTCAAATTCCTGACACAAACCGATGCACTACTAAAAAGCTATTGTACATGTAAAGTTGGAGGCCTACCAGTTATAAACAGTAGATGTTCAAATGTGACCGATTGATGATACAGAAAAGTACTACGTACCTTCACATGTGAAACCGTCTGCATTCAACACGTAACCAATGTGACAAGTACACTGGAAACTTCCTATGGCGTTGTTACACATCTGTTCACAGCCGCCATTTGCCGTTGTACATTCGTTGATATCTTGACAGAGATTGAGAAGTTAACATTGAACGAAAGATCAGTTCACAATGTTTAACGTATTTAACAAAAAATATCACAATTTTAAAGTTTTGTTTCACGAAAAATCATTCACAATATTTAACGTTTTTAACGAAAAATCACTTCAAAATGTGTTTACCGTTGTCACTTATGCAGTTTGCAGTTCAGTAACTTTAGTTAAGCATTGTCAAAGATAAAGGAGTCATTAAACAATTTTAACCCTATCTCAACAAAGGCTTAGACAATAACAAATAAAAGTGTTCTTTACCGTCGCAGGAGGACCCGTCGGCATTCAAGCTGTAGCCAGCTCCACAGGAACATTGGAAACTCCCGATGTCATTGGTACACGCCTGGTCACAACCACCATTTGCAGTGCTACACTCATTCACGTCTACATAATTTACAAATTACAATTTTTAATTGTTGTCGATTCGAAAAAAAGAAAACAGGAGTCTCAGGTACTCACACCACTTCCAAGAATAGTTTTTCTAGACGCAATGTAATCTAATGTGATGTATTATGTTTAAATGTAATTTTGAATAATGATACACTATAGGTTCGATCGAAAAGACTAGTAAAATATTAGATCTTACTTACCGTCACAGGTAAAGTCATCGCTACTTAAGCTATAACCTATTAAACAGGAGCACTGGAAACTGCCTCTAGTATTGGTGCAGGTTTGGTCACATCCACCATTTAATGACGCACATTCATTCACATCTGTGTTAAGAAACAAAAGTTGGGTTTCGAAAATGTTGTAACAAGCAACACATTAAATAAACATGACGTTACCATGCTAGCTTGAATGAATTGTCGTAGATTACTTGGTTAAGCAATGAATTATGTCAACACTCTTTGTGTTATTGTTTTAATATACATGTACATGGTTGTTCACTAGTACTACTTCGAAGGCAAACAAGTCAATGGCTAGAAACAAATACAGAATCTACTCTTAACTCATACAAGGGTTCCTTTTATTTGAATTGTAAGCTGAATTAGTAATATAGAGGATTAGAATTTACTGCTTAGCTGGAGAAAAGAAAGAAGGAAAACGTGTATGATGAACTATATAGAGATACCCACCGTCACAAGAGAGCCCATTGTCATTCAGACTATAGCCAACACCACAGGAACACAGGAAACTTCCGAGGAAATCTGTACATATTTGTTCACAACCGCCGTTGGCATAAGCACATTCATCCACGTCTGTATGAATATAAAACAGAGATATCAATCTATAACAATCAGGTGCATTGAATTTAGCTGGTTTACAGTCAATTGCGTCAAATATTATGCTGATCATTTGCATATGCTGAGGAGATGTTTATTTTTTGGAAATGTTAGAAAGAAGACCTTAGAAAAAGAGAAGATACTTACCGTCACAACCAAAACCATCGCTATTTAAGACAAAACCGTCCCTACAAGAGCACTGGAAACTTCCGATCAGGTTGTGGCAAATCTGCCCACAGCCACCGTTTCCAGTTGCACACTCATCCACGTCTGAAAGATGAACGAAATTAGTTGATGTTTATCCTCATATAGATACCCTTATCTCCGTCTCTACTAATTAGCAGAGTGCATACAGGTAGAAAAAGAAGAGAAATAAAGTTACTGGAATGTCCGTACCAATTTTCTACTGAAGCAAAAGCACATACCATTGATGAATTTACTCGAATACGCATATTTTCTAAGCCTATTTCTCATCTTTTCTTGTCAGAGATTGCTGATTTTTGTAGCTTTTGGATGGTTATGTCATCTAGACTACCCATAGGGATATGCTTCTATCTATGCTGGTTATACTTTGTAAAAGTTTCTCACCATCACAACCAAATCCATCGCCATTCAAACTAAAACCGTTCCCACAGGAACACTGGAAACTGCCGGCAGTGTTGGTACACAGCTGATCACAACCACCACTGGCAGCATAACATTCGTCCACATCTGCATTAAAAATAAATAAACTTATTGTTCAAACATGTTTGCCTTCTTCAACCAAGGCCTCATGCGTTCATCTTTGTGTTATGCTGAGGTCATTACGACCCCAGCGAAAGGCTTACTGCCCCGCCCCTAGGTGTATATGGTGAGACAATCCCTGGTCAGGTGCGATCCACAGAATAAACCACCAAGTGAGCGTAGTTATAACCAGTTATTCATTCATTTCGGCCTTATGCAACTATTTCCAATTCTTCATCCATTTCAGTCAAATGAAACTATTTTTACTGCATTGGGGAGGTCCCGTGGAGACTAGTGAGGTAGTATTAGAGATTCTTACCAGTACATGTATGACTGTCCATGTTTAAGGTGTAACCAACCCCACAGGTACACAAGTAGCTCCCGATGAAGTTGTGGCAATTCTGCTGGCACCCACCATTTGCACTGATACATTCATCGATGTCTGGGCAAATAGAAAAAATATACAAGTGTCATATACAGGCCGTGCATATGGACAGATATTAATAGATAGATAGTAGTAGATAAATAGATAGAAATTCGAATGTGGACAGACAGATAGATAGATGATAGATAGGTTGTCATTGGATGAATGTTAAACTTTTCGCTTAACATAGACATGTACCAACTTTTGTAAAAATACGTTCACAAAATGACTCGTACCGTCGCAGGAATGGCCATCGACGTTCAGGTTGAATCCATCCACACAGGAACACTGGAAGCTGCCCAGGGTGTTGGTACATACATGGTCACAGCCACCATTTGCAGCTGAACATTCATCAATGTCTGCAAAAGAACAAACATAACACACGTTACGTAAGCAGACTGTTAGAAACGAAGAGTTTTGAAGTCGACATGATTGACCTCTCATTGGCCAAAATCCTACCGTTGCATGACGGGACGTTGCTGCTCCATGTCCGGTCTGCTTGGCAGGTAGAACTGGAATCTCCGACCAGATCATATCCAGGGTTACATGTGAACTGTACCACGTCCTGGTAGAAGTTGGGGCCGCTCGAATCACCATTAATAGGTGACGGCAATGCCGGGCACTGTATACCTGATAAAAAATTCATAAGATTCATATGATATGACATCAATGAAAAGCCTCGATATGTCGATTTCCTCGACTAGGAAAACTAAGAACAATGCTAAAGGACAAAGCCAATATTTTGCAACAGCAATTTGTTTTGGTCAGTGTGACATCATTCATAATGATTGTCATGTCATTGGTTGTTCTGTCTTTTTTTTTAGTCTTACGAGTGCAGGTTGGGACGATCCCACTCCATGTTCTGTCAGCTTGGCAGGTAAGACTGGGGATTCCGACAAGCTCATATCCAGGATCACACAAGAACGTCACCACGTCCTGGTAGTAATTGTTTCCAGTGATTGCACAGTTCACTGGCGCTGTCAGTAGAGGACACTGCACGGCTGAAATAGGAGTTAAATTAGAGTTAAATTTCGTTTTGAACTACTTTTAACTCTTCATAACATTGTTTATCATTCCTACGTGTAAAACATAAAACCAAGCATTTGCTGATGAATATTCACATTCTGATGATTGACATCATATATCATATCATATAAAGAAGGAATAACAATGACAAATCGAGGTTGCATGCATGTTATTTTCATACCCATATCTGTTGGCTACCAATACGCTGAAAGATTTTTAGATGTCACAATACTATTAACGTAATCAAAAACCATTCGCAAACCTGAATAATGATACTTCAGGAATTTAAAATATATTTCAGTAAATAATGATAATAACAGTAATAATAGAGGTAAATAGAATATCAAGCACCATTTTATCTTCTGCATCAAATGTGTTCCAACTTTTTAGGCATGGAAAATGATATGCGTGTGCCACGTCGAGGCAATGATGGGCTTGACATTTTTGACTACTTCTATTGGTCAAAATCCTACCGTTGCATGACGGGACGTTACTGCTCCATGTCCGGTCTGCTTGGCAGGTAGAGCTGGAATCTCCGACCAGTTCATATCCAGAGTTACACGTGAAGTGTACCGTATCCAAGTAGAAGTTGGAGCCGGTCGAATCACCATTAATAGGAGGAGGTAACGCCAAGCACTGCACACCTGGCACAGTAAAATAAAACGGATTTAAACGGCCAATCTACTAAGTGACACGAAGAAGCTACCATGATCGTGTAAACGTATTGATGGATTCGGATAACGCTTCGACTTTCATATTTTCTCTCTCATCTATCCGTCAGTCCATTTATTATTTGACCATTGGGGCACTACAGATGATTTGACAACCGGTGTTCTCCACCCTTCTAGGTGTTTTGTTCTTCTTAACGTTTTACTTAGTGTGATGACTGTCTATTCTATTCTATTCTATTCTCTGATACCATCCTCCCTCTTTTCCGTTGCCCTCTTTCTTCCTCCCTGTACTGTTCCTTGCATAATTGTTTTGACTAGTCCCGATGACCGTTACACGTGGCCATACCACTTCAGTTTTCGTTTCTTTGATATGTTTCGGAAACCATAATTTTCGTATGATATAGCAACGTATGACAATCTTCATATTACTATATTTTAACTGACATTACTTAACATTTACTCTCAGTAGAGATCATTAGATTTGTAACATACGAGTGCAGGTTGGCTCGACCCCGCTCCATGTGGCGTCAGCTTGGCAGGTCAGACTGGCGCTTCCTTCAAGCTCGTATCCAGGATCGCACGTGAACGTCAGCACGTCTTGGTAAAAGTTGGAGCCACTGACGCCACCGTTTATAGGAGGAAGTAACGTCGGACACTGCACACCTGATGCGGTAAAACAAAGCGCCTTTTAACCTCAAATTGCAAACCAATTCAGCGACCAGAAGATCTTATAATGGTCATATGTGGTTGACGTCTCGATTTTGGTAATAGGGGTTTGTGGTAACATTTTATCAAAGATAATTTCGTACTCAGGAAAGGATCATAGTAACCTTTAAAGTATCACATTTTTATTGTCATCGACCTTAGTACTCATGTAATAGCAACGGATGTCAATCTTCATATTAAGGTCTTTCTTTTGTTTAAGTTAAGTAGTGATGCGGCTGGTTTCTTACGGGGGCAAGTTGGGACGTTCCCACTCCACGTAGCGTCAGCTTGGCAGGTCAGGCTTGCGCTTCCAACAAGCACGTGTCCTAGGTTACACGTGAAGGTCACCACGTCTTGGTAGGAGTTTGATCCTGTCCTCGCACCGTTGGCAGGAGCTGCCAGTGGTGGACACTGCACACCTGAAATGTGGAGTAAAATTCCCGATGCTTACATGTATATTTTGTTGTTATTCCTCGTACCTCTCAGAAGGTCACGCAGATGAACAGTTAACGATCATGTTGCCTGATTTTACAATGTGAAGTCCTAATTCTAATATATAACTGAAAGAAAATTTTGCAAGTGCCGTATGAAAAAAAAAGAAACATATGCATGATAATGTTGTTTTAGTTGCAACAGTGCTATGCAATTTCATTCATAGGCAGTGCAGCAGCGGCAAACAAGATATGACAACACAAACTTTTTGCTGCAATCTAAATAAAGAAACAAAGATAAACAAAACATAGAATAGGTTAGTCTAATTTTGTTGGGACGTTTCTATACATAATCACGATTGTCCCAGACTATACCTGAGCAGATGGGAGCATTGTCACTCCACGTGCCGTCTGCCTGGCATGTGATGCTGGCCGCTCCTACCAGAACGTACCCCAGGTCACAGTCGAAGCGCAGCTGATCCTGGTAGATATTAGACCCGTCCGTAGGCCAGAATATACCGTTTACTGGAGCCGAGATGGTCTGACATTGTACGACTGAAGCAAAAACAAAAGGGAAGAGAAACAGCATTATTAAACGCACTAATGAAGCGTCTTTAACATCACAAAATCACAAAGAGACGAGAAGAAGCCGAACCTATGTATTAGAGTAGTTTTAGAGCAAATGTTGTTAGATTAGCATCAGTAGTTCTGTCTGTACCGTATACCTCTGCATCTGTTGACCTGTACTTAGCCAGATAGGGCATGAATGTACATAAAAGGTTATCATTATTATCTAACATGGTCTCCTCGCCTCCAACAGGTAGCCTGGATGCCAAACGCTGGCGTTCATAAGCGATAGATTTTTTGGGGGGGAGAAGCCCTAATGTCTGCTACAGTATCCGCTGCCCAAACCCATGGCTGCCCAAAACCCTTTACATTTCGACGCAAAGTGATAATAACGCCCCGTTCACAGTGAAACTTGTCGATCCGGATCGGCCGCCGATCGGGATCAGAAATTTATGAATCCGGATCGGTCGTGCGTTCAAGTGCCAAATCGGGGTTGGCGGGGCGTATGGCTTCCCTGGCCGAAGGTGTTATCACTCATTCGCGGTAAGGGCTGGCACCCAGGCTACTAACAGAGGGCCTAGGCTTCATTTAAGTCCGACCACAAATAGGCTACAAAGCTGAGTGAGAAAATTGGTGCCTTTCTCAGGAGACAAACAGTGGGACCTACGAGGAATTCAAACCGAAAATTTCTAGATTAACACATCCTTTCTTCACTCTACATTGTAAACAGGATTTGAACAGTTGTGTGCATTTTCAATGATACAATGATTACACGGATATGGTATCTTAAGCTTAGCTACTAACAGTCCTCCGGCAATGTTGGGACAGTTTACCTATGCATGTTGGTCTGTCTCCACTCCAGGTCCCATCGGACTGACAGGTTAGCATAGACGTACCCACCAGACTGTACCCGGTGTCACAACTGAAGGTCACCACGTCGCCGAAGAAGTTGGAGCCGGGATATATGACCATACCGTTTGCTGGGCCGGTCAGCATTGGACACTGTATAGCTGGATGCAGATATGGAATATAGTATATTAGAAATGAATAATTCTGAGATAATTTGTTTCCTAATTATGTGCGTGTATCTATCTATATCAGATCTGTTTATCTCTCTCTTGTCTCTGGTCTTATTTTGTCTTAACATAAAAGCAAACAAAAACACAAGAAAATGGCAGACATACCAGTCCTTGGTACTGAACTCCATCCACACACACCCAAATGCGTTTGTTCATTGCATTAAATATCGCACCTGTCCTTGGTGCTGAACGCCATCCACACAGCCAAACGTATCAGTTTATTGTACTGAAACTCACACCTGTCCTTGGTGCTGAAATGAATGTTGAGCCCTGATATCAGAACAGATCCTACAAGATAGTGTTCATTGGCTAGATATGTGGCTATTAGCCACCCTGTAGCCTTTAACTCCGGTGGCCAATGGATCTTCTTACCAGATTGTCTCGTATTGCACTTTTTCTAACCTATTAACCTATTGACGGGGGGGGGGGCGATATCGACTTCAGACAACCTTTGACCCTTTGCTGACGTCACACGTGGGAAAAATCACGTGTCTACAGCATGTGGGTCTACAGCATTTGGGTCAGATAGCTGAGGAAGACTGAGTGATTCAGTCGAAAATTCCGGTGAGTGAAATTTCTGAGTTGGAGAACAGTTTAAATTTTTCATAAATTTCTAACCTGTACATGTTGGTGGAATCCCACTCCATGTCCCGTCAACCCGGCAGGTGATTGAAGAGGCGCCGGTCAGGTTGTATCCTGAGTCACACCAGAAGCCGACGACATCTTCGTAGTTCCACGGCTGTGGGTCGGAGCTGCCCAGGAAACAGTTTGCGTTGGGAGACACCGAGGGACATTCTATAGCTGTATACAAATATAGAAATAAAGGTAATCAAGATATGAAAATGCTTCATCCACCAAGGAGGCTAAAAATCTAGATTGAGGCTAAAAATCGATTTGATATTATGACTTATCAACGGTTTCAGTTGTAGCAAGGTGACGCCTGCATGACGTCAAATTACAACATGGCGGCGCCCATGGGCCCGGCCTAAAACAATACAGTTTTGACATTGGTCAAGCTTGTGTTTACCTTCACACGTTGCACTAGTACTCCCAGTCCACTGCCTGTCCAGTTGGCAGATGACGTTAGAGACCCCGATGAGACTGTACCCTGTGTCACATGCGAGCTGTGCTTGCTCTTGGTAGTAGGTAGACCCATTCATAAAGCCGTTAGCAGGAGCTGTCGTCACAGGGCATACCACACCTAAGGGCAGCAGCAAAAGCAAGGGGACTAGAATCCGCAGTATCATTGATCATCATTATGTGGCTAATTATACATAACAGTATAGAATCTATTGATGATATTACTGAAAACAATGGCATTGTGTGACATGTAGCTACTACAGTTTGTTTCAAACACTGGATGTTCTGAATCTCAAGGTATTTACTTTACTAATGTCTTTGATTAGCTCATTAACTAAAATCCTGCATAAATTTGCATACATCTGCATAAATTGCAATACATGAATACATTTGCCTAAATTTGCATAAATTGGTCTGCACTGCCATATATTCTACTACATGTGAGACAAACCGCGTTGCTGGTGCTCATTAACTAATCTTAATAAATTTTTACACATCTGCATAAATTGGCATGCATGAATAAATTTGCATAAATTTGCATAAATTGGTCTGAACTACCTTGTATTGTACTAGTATACATGTCAGACAAACTGCGTTGATGGTGTAGAGTAAAATAACGCTTACCTCCGTACACTTTAACCTCGCACAGAGTAAGGATTTTTAGTTCCGAGTTTGTTGTCCCAATACGAACCCCGACGTATCGACCAATCAAACCGGGGCACACGGCGGTGTACGGCTGGATCCCTTCTATGGCTGTCAGTGGGGCTCCACAGGACGGGTTCGAATCAACCTGTATGTTTTTTTTAATGTTTTTATTAGCATTACACAATGGACAAGGACAATGTGGCGTAAAAAGTTACAACTTGTTTTGTTCGGCCACATACAAAAATTTAATATTTGGCTTTGCGCCTATCTGTCCCTCGATATATGTTTGTGTTAAAAGTAACGTTTATTTATTTCATCATGTTTTATAATATCATGTTTATTTTATCATGTTTATTTTATTTTATTCACATAGATTTGTGAAACATAAAAAACATAAACTATCAATTTGACAGACCTGTATGTTGTCACCGACATGGACGATGGCTTGTTGCAGTCTGTCCCAGCAGCAGTCCATGCGGTTGTACAGAACGACGCGCTCCACGCAGAGGGAGTGGCCGAGGTCCACACGCCACCATGGGTTCAGCTCCCCAACCGTATGCGTGCACGATAGCGAGAAGTAGTGCCCGTTGGTGTTCCCGTCCACGGCTAGGTGTGGCTCTCCGCCTGCCGTTGGATGTAAACTGGACTGTTCGGTAGGACGGCCTAGAGCAACATTAGCCGTCCTTCCTGAAAGAGAAAATGTGACTTTGAAGCCCTCCAGTATTTACCTCAATGGAAATACAAATTGAATATGCAAATTGAATATGCAAATCGAATATGCAAATTGAATATGCAAATTGAATATGCAAATTTAAGTACATAATGACATGCATGTGACAATCCTTGTATGGTATTCATAGGGATATAAGGTCTAAACATTATTTAAAAATAATGTTTAGACCTTAGATATTCCCCTAATTATTGTAAAAGCTCATCCTCATCCTATACTAGTCTCTTGTATTACGTACATGTAGGTTATGTACCAGTAGATGCCATACTTTGTACTCAATCCTATTGTTGTACAATAAAGTTATTGCTATCTAACATAAAATAATCTTTTGCTCTTTAATAAAAGTTTTAAAACCTCACACAGTGGTATCTTACTACGCTAAAATTAAAAATATTCAGTTATTTCAACATATCGATGAATCATTACCAATGATTTAGTATCGATAGACGTTACTACGCCATCTGTAACATAGATATCGAAAATCACGATATAGAAATATTGTTATATTGTTTACACCGATGTGCTTTAAGATCCTTTATACGTGTTTACTCTATCGATGTACCAAAAACGACCGTAACTCTTATGTACTCACCACAGGTTCCTGACGGTTTGTTACATGAGTGAAAACGAACATTATGATTTTAAGCTCAGACAAAGAAAAACAGTAAAATGAAAAAAAGGAAGTATGACTGACTGATCGCCCATAATCATTTCATAAAGACTAAGACGTGAAATTATAGATGTTTACTCAATGGCAATTGGCATCTGTTCACTAACTAGTATTCTATACATTCAACGGAATCACATCTACCGTTTGTTGTTATTCCTTGTTAACATAGACTGACATAACTTACTGTAATAAAATAACTACACATGTATGTTACGTGACTTACCTTGTGTCACCTGACATAGAAACTTGTGAGATCTACCACAGGGGTCGTCATTCCAGACGGATCCACCCTTAAATAGCTGTCCGCAGTCTTCTGCTCCTCTTAAGTTGTTGGGTTCTCCCGAATTCCAGTTGTTCCAATCAGCAGTGACGTCATGAGGAGTCCCATCTTCCCACAACCAATCACCTTCGACGATCAGGTCGTTCAGGCCAATCCAGAAATCTTGATTTTGATTTTTTAAATTTATTTGCACATATACAATGAAATTCATAATCAAATAATAAAAAATGGACAAAATGGACAAAAACGGGGGAGGCCTGAAACCTTAGTCTTTCACAGGCCTGCCCCAAACGAAATACTAAATAATAGTAATTGGTACAATGTTAGATACAAGGAAAACAAACAGATTAGGTTGAAGTGATACCTTCCGTCTGATACGGAGATCTCAGGTTCCACAGAAATTGGTTCAGATCACTGGTCTTCGGCATGGCCAAAAGTCCTCCGTCCGCTGCGCAGACCTGTCTGGACTGGTTGTAGGTTCTGGCTTGGTCATACACCTTGAAGCACTCACCGTCGTATGCAGTGTAACCAAAAGGACATTCTGTAATAATTACACATTTCCCATGTTAAGTGCTAGTATCTGTATCATCTGACAGATGAACGGAATTAGACAGGATTATCATTTTTTGGGGGACGGATCGAAGTATTGATTTGGGTGGCACTGATATATACCAGGTTTGTATGTTTGGATTCCTAATTTAATTGAGTGGGCAGTGAATGGGTGTCACTTGATTGACAGGGGTTTGAGCCGGCATGACCTGGGTTCAAGAATGTGGTTGCTAGAGTTATATATGAAATACTAGAATTCGTGGAACACATGCTTTCGTCAGGTGTAGATATTTTGTTTTATATTCTTAATGTAGGAAAATATGAAAATGCAAATATACGCCAGATCATGTTGCATGTTGACCTACATTATACATTCCAGTACCGGATTTGTCCCGGATTCTTGGTTATTATCAAGCCCATCACAGGGTATGTTTACCTCATTTCTTATGTAAATTAGATCCTAATTTGCTTTTGTGTGGGTAACGACACCATGCAGCAATAGATGCATGATATAGTGTGACCTACCTGGTACCACCTGGCAGATGAACTTTCGATAAACACTGCAGGCCACGTCATTCCAGTCTGTAGTACGGCGGATGGCACAGTCTTCCCCTCCTTGGTTGTTGGGTTCCCTCACACCCCAGTGACCCCAGTCGACATTAGGATCGTGTGGAGTTCCATCTTCCCACAGCCATTCCCCCTCAATGTGCTTGTCGTTCAGACCAATCCAGAACTTTGCGTCTGGATCCACGGAGCTCATCAGATTCGACAGGAAGCTGTTCAAGTCGTTGTTCTTCGGCATGGCCAGAAGCCCTCCGTCCGCTTTGCAAACCTAGTGTGTTCAGTTTATAGTGTGTTCAGTTTATTTAAGTGATTTATACCTTTGTCAATTT